TCTCCAATTCCTTTTCCTTCCATCTATACCTATACTTTACCCACGTTACTTCCACTATCATCCCAGCAGCCTCTCCAATTGTTATCAGCGATAATTCCCCGAAGCATCAGCAGCAGTAAGAGACGCAGTGGCTCGACTTATCTCCACCTTATTATCCAGATGTGCAAGAATCGGCAGCAAATGTTGCGGCCCCAGCAGGTGAGGTCTCTAGTTATTACCTGTAACAACTCGTGCGTATTACAAGTATCAGTGTAATTGGCACGACGAATGACGTCCGCTTGCCCACCCGCACCCATCACTTGACCACCTGTTGTTCGTCTCTTCATACACACGTATATATGTATGTATACATTTATTTGTATATTTCACATATATGTGCACACGCCCGTGTCTCTTTTAGTGTGGTTTGTGTGTGTGTGTGTGTGTGTGCGTGCATGCATGAGCGCGTACTTGCATGCGTGCCCGGAATTTCGCATGGCAACACTAGGTACCTTATACCCGCAATTATTTTTTCTCGCTTCAAGCACATATACCTAAGCAGCAGCAAATACGCTTATCTTGTACTCTTTCGCTTGTATCAGGCGCGTCAACGTGGCCGTGCTGTGTTCTGCAGCTGTCCCCTTGGAAAATCGCCTCGCGAAGCTATTCATTATCTTGGTCTCCCGTATACACGCGTGCATTTGCTTATCTTGTACATTTTGTTCTTCCTCTCGCGTCAATGCTGCCTTTCAAATGCTACACGTTCACCAACTAAGTACTTAATCGCGCACGTGCTCCGAAAAATGTTTCCACGCTGTTGCTGCTGTTTTACCGTTGCAGCAAAAGCGAGGGAACAACCCTCTGTACTGTAGTTCTTTGTTTCCGACGACGACTATACTTCCTTTGTATTTTTATACGTATCTTTGCCTCGGTCCAAAGATCCGTCGAACCAGTAAAAAGTTTACAGGATGTACGAGTTTTCAGGTAAGCCAAGTTACTTGATAAACCGTAAAAGTCATGACATATATACCAACTTGTGTAATAATAGATTTACTTATATTGAACTCTATACCTATCGGTCGCGTCTGCCGGTCGAACAATCACGCGTGTGTGAATCGGCGTACAGCAATTCAAGTACCCAAAGTCTTTGCGACCTTGCTCCCCTCTTCGGCGGTTTTTTTTTTTTTTTTTTTTTTTTATAATACCTACGCAAGTACTTAAAGAGCTCTCGTGTCTTTTTCTTTTCTTTTCTCTCAAACGCACATGAGAAAAAAAGGATGGAAGACCGAGGCGCCGTCACGTGCCTCGAGCAATGCCAATCCGACCGACGATCGAGGCCGATATCGCGAACCCTTACAATAATGTATATAGGTATACGTTCAGTAGATTAAAAAAAAGGTGTGTGTCGCGCCGTGTCAATGAATTTGCGATCTACCTGATTCGGGCTTCTCGACCGGCAATTATCTCTCCCCTACACCGATTGGCCGTTCTCCTATACATATACGTATCCAAGTGGGAAAGTCATCTTGGCCAAATAAGGCACGTCGTCGATAAACATTATTTTAATTTCTATTGTTCTTTCAGGTGCTTCCAAGCGATAAGATGTAAGAACACACCAACGAAACACTATCTGATGCTCATTATGTACGACCAATGGATTTTTATAACAGTAGAAGTTTCAAGTGTTGTGGACTTGAGTTACAAAAGAATGTAGCACTAAAATGACGTCACTAACCGGTTTTTTTGGTTTTGGAGCAATTTCCGGGCTCTCCTTGTTGGGAAATATCTTCAGCAAAAATGTTTTCACGAAGATAGCTCGGATGAATCGGATCTGTAATAATGAATAAAAGAAGAAAGTTGATGAAACGCTGGCGTGGACATTTTCTTTGGTTATCTAGCTGTATGAGTGATGATGAACGTCATAAAGCTAGGTTACCGGAGTTAAGCTCCTCGCCGTATCAACGATAAGAATCTTTCTACTCCCTTATTGAGGCACAATCTTTATGGATTCTTTGTTGCCAAAAACGACGACGACGACGACGACGACGACGATGATGATTACTCCCAGAGAGGCAATCGCGCCATGGCTTTTTTGTATGCCTGTGTCTCATGACAACGTTGTATGCGTTGTATACAGATGTGCGCGTTTCATTTCACACAAATCGATTTCAATAGTCCGCGAATGTGAAATTTCTAGGAACGAAAAATTACGTATTCCGAGCCTCGCCCGCGTGTGCACGTGTTTTTTCCGTACTCTTCTCTTTTTTTTTTTTTTTTTTTTTTTTTCTTATTTTTTCCATCCACTGGCTTTTGATATGTGCGTGTGCGTAATTTGTAAACGCGAATATGTGTCATCTTGTTTAAAATGTACCCGATGTCAACCCGAAATTCCTTGGTCGTGTACATTTTAACGAGGCAGCAACTTATTTTACGTGCACGCGCTACCCGCACACACACGTTTTGTGATNTTTTTTTTTTTTTTTTTTATCTAAATCTCGTCTTTCATCCTGGCGTGTGCGTCAACATTGTTGCGGTTTAATATACAATTCGAGTGAAATATACCTAGATTTGAAAAATTATTAATTCCATCGTGCAATTTTTCAATTTAACGATATCGAGGCATGTTCTCGAGATTCCGTTCATCAGTTGTTTTAAAATAATAAAGAAAAGAAAAAAAAAAAAAAATTAAAAGCTAACTGAAAAAAAGAGGAAATTCTATAAGTGTACGCGTGGACACGCTTGAGAAAGATAATAGAATGGTTCCCACAGGTTCAGGTCCCATAATAAAAGCAAAGAAGGAAGACGAAGCAACTACACGCATTGACGAGGGCAAGGAGTGAGTATCCTGTACTCCTTGTCTATTTATCGCTGCTTGGGAAAATCCTAAAGGATGTGCACGTGTGCTGTGTGCGTGAAAAAAACAGCATTTCCGGTATTGGTATATATAAACCTTTCGGAATTTGGCCTATTGTTTTCAAGATATAGAGACGCCCGTAGGCAGCGGAGCACATACATAATACAGACCCCCACGGAAATACGGCAGGCTGAGCTTGTTATGGGTGTATGACGATGTCGCCGACCTAGACGTTGTAATAAGGAATAAATGTAAATTGTATAAAGTGAGTGGGTAGATGAACGTGTAAGTGTAGCAATCAACGGGGAAAAATAAGTTAATTTGTTAACGATAAGCTTTTTTAAAGTTGCTGTTAACCGATTCATTGCTACAATCATTTGAGATTTTTATTCGCACGTCTCCCGGTGAGGTCGAATTTATTAAATAAATCGCTTTGACTAAAATATCAATTTTATTTGTTTATTTATTTACCCAACGTCCATTTTAAGATCACAGATAATGCAGATTGCGTCATAAACTACGGTAGTTACATTGCACTACCTACAACGGCATGTATGAATTCTAAGTAACCCTGGTAAGGTAAGGAAGAATCCTGTATATTCGATTGATCACGTTGGTGTGGCGGTAAAATTTAAATTATACGATCATCAACTAAAAATTAATAAAACTAAACCAATGTGAAAGAATAAATTAACGTTATAGATAAAAACTAAAATACCATTGCAGGTGAACAGTCAATAATCCATAGAACCAAAACTATTTTAATAGAAAATTAAAGTACTACTAAGCTTCAAACAAACATTATTCAAGTCTCCATTAAATGTAATGATTAGAAAATAGTATAAATTACACTTGAATATAACAATAATACGTACATACAATTAGTTCGATCCAACTAATAAATAATCCTGAATCAAAGATTTAAAAAATAATATCTATAATCTAGGAACAAAAAAAATTTGAGTTAAAAGTGTATACTTAATTGACGGACTGTTAAGCAAAGTTTTAAGTAAGCAATGTTGCGATAACTTAGAATTTTCTTGTGACATCAGTATACCTACTTACGACTTAATCCGTGGTCTTGGAAATCACGACTTTTCAACACATTTACATTTTTACTAAATTTTTTAGTATATCTATAAGTATGACGAACTGAAAGTAGTTTGTCATTTATTTGTTGCTATAGAGATAAGTGAACTTACAATTGTTTTTCAAATAATTTATATAATTTCTGTTGATAGCTCTATTACTTACATGAGGAACATTTGAGAAATTTCTAGTACAAACAATATAGGTACTACTTGAGCAAATAAAGTTCGATAAAAGCTATTTAGTGAAACCACATCCTCTTACCTCCCGGCTCTTGAATATCTTTTCTTTTCTTTGCAGTTATACAGAATATGATAATTTACAAAAATACGTTTTTCACTTTTGCTCATGACCCAAATCATTCCGGAAATGTAATGTTCAATTTATAATTTTTCAGTGTTATTATAAATGTCTCAAAAAATCATAAGAAACGAAAAATGTTACAAGTATGCATTGTTGCAGTTCAATAGTTAAAAATTAAAATATCATTTAAAAAAATTTATCCATTGTAAATATGCAACGTGATACATTATAATTGTAACACACATCAAATAATAATAATTTCTCTTGAAGAAAAATTCATGTAAAGGATAGATCTGCTGATTCATCTTTAATTAAAATAATTAGCATGTAATTGTAAGTGAGTATAATATAGGTATACAAATATCACGAGAACGAGATACACCAATGACTAGATAATTTTATATAATCCCGCGCGTTTTTGTGTCATCCACTACGTGGCTCAACGCCATCGGCGCGCTTTTTAATTCGGTATCCAAATTTTCATGTCATTTATTGTTGTTAGATGAAAAAAATTCATTTATCGTTCATTTTTAATTACTGATAATTTTTGTGTATCTGATTTATCACTTTCATCGTCTTCCTGCATAATTTCTCCGTCATGTTCGAATTTTTTGAATCGTGGAAAACGGAAGTGATGAGAGCGCGTCAACGACCAAAAGTTCTGGAAGACCCGAGAACATTCTGGAAGTGTCGAGAAAACAGAAAAAGAACATTGCACTGCAGCGCCTCTATAAAAGCGGCTGTTTGATAATTTGCCGTATTTGATCGACCACATTCCGCATTTGACTCTTGCAGAGCGCAGATCGAGCGATTTTTCCGGCCTAGCACACGGCATCACCTGCATTTTATCGAAAAGTACTTCTTTTACGAATTCAATCAAGGTAAGATTTTATTTAATACTACCCACTTGCTAACCTCATTATAATAAATCCGCATGTCGTCCAATTGTAAATAAAAAATTTCGAGGTTGGATCAAGTCTACACACGCAACGTTTGGCTAGGCGTCGCCGGGACTTTTTTTTTATTTTTTATCAATATAGTGTTACACGCTAATGATAATCATCAAATATTTCGAATAAAGAATCGAGTCGCTAATTACTTTCATTTTTTGTGTTCATTGCTCTTAAGCTATTTTTTTTTTTTTTTTTTTATCTAAATCTCGTCTTTCATCCTGGCGTGTGCGTCAACATTGTTGCGGTTTAATATACAATTCGAGTGAAATATACCTAGATTTGAAAAATTATTAATTCCATCGTGCAATTTTTCAATTTAACGATATCGAGGCATGTTCTCGAGCGGTCTGCAGTTCATCATAACCATGTTAGCTTGAGACACGCGGTCTACATCGCTTTCACAATCCAATGTATTTATCGGACTATAATAAATTATTTTGAAATTTGTGCATTGTGCACGAGTTTAAGCGTTATATGTTGGAATCATTGAATTTATGTATTAGATACTAAAAATCGTAGTGTAACGTGCATTTATTTATTGTGTACGTGTAATTTTCAGATGACTGAAACCATGGAAACTGTTGAGAATGCAGAGGTTGAGACTTTCGCTTTCCAAGCTGAAATCGCACAGTTGATGTCCCTCATCATCAACACTTTCTACTCCAACAAGGAAATCTTCCTCAGAGAATTGATCTCCAACTCTAGCGATGCTCTTGACAAAATTCGTTATGAATCTCTCACAGACCCAACCAAACTCGAATCCGGCAAAGATCTTCACATCAAGATTATCCCCAACAAGAATGACCGTACTCTCACGATAATTGACTCTGGTATTGGTATGACTAAAGCTGATTTGGTCAACAACCTCGGTACCATTGCTAAGTCTGGTACCAAGGCTTTCATGGAAGCTCTTCAGGCTGGTGCCGACATTTCCATGATTGGTCAGTTTGGTGTTGGTTTCTACTCAGCATACCTCGTTGCTGATAGAGTCGTTGTAGTTTCAAAGAGTAATGATGACGAACAATACATTTGGGAGTCCAGTGCCGGTGGATCTTTCACTGTACGTCAAGACACTGGAGAGCCAATTGGACGTGGTACCAAAATAGTTCTGTACATCAAAGAAGACCAGGCTGAGTACCTGGAAGAAAGTAAAATTAAGGAAATCGTCAAGAAGCACTCGCAGTTCATTGGCTACCCAATCAAGCTTGCTTGTCAGAAGGAACGTGAAAAGGAGTTGAGCGACGACGAAGAAGAAGAAGATGACAAAGAAAAGAAAGAAGATGACAAGCCGGAAGTTGAAGATGTTGGAGAGGATGAAGACGAAGACAAGCCCAAAGACGAAAAGAAAAAGAAAAAGAAGACCATCAAAGAAAAGTACGAGGAGGATGAAGAATTGAACAAAACTAAGCCCATATGGACCAGAAACTGCGATGACATCACTCAGGAGGAATATGGTGAATTCTACAAATCTCTTACCAACGACTGGGAAGATCATTTGGCTGTTAAGCACTTTTCTGTTGAGGGTCAGCTTGAATTCAAAGCCCTTCTCTTCATCCCAAGACGCATGCCATTCGATCTTTTTGAGAACAGGAAGAAAAAGAACAATATCAAGCTGTACGTCAGGCGTGTATTTATCATGGACAACTGCGAAGATCTGATCCCTGAATACTTGAACTTTACGAAAGGAGTCGTAGACAGTGAAGATCTTCCTCTTAACATTTCGCGAGAGATGTTGCAACAAAACAAAATTCTGAAGGTTATCAGGAAAAATCTCGTCAAGAAATGCTTGGAGTTGTTCGAAGAGATTGCGGAAGACAAAGAAAATTTCAAAAAGTTCTATGAACAGTTCAGCAAGAACTTGAAACTTGGAATCCACGAAGACAGTGGAAACCGTAACAAGTTAGCGGACTTGCTCAGATACCAAACTTCAGCTTCTGGTGATGATACCTGCTCACTGAAAGAGTACGTCGGCAGGATGAAGGAGAACCAAAAACACATCTACTTCATCACCGGTGAAAGCAAGGATCAGGTTGCCAACAGCTCGTTTGTTGAGCGTGTCAAGAAACGTGGCTTTGAGGTCATCTACATGACCGAGCCCATTGATGAGTACGTCGTCCAGCAGCTCAAGGAATTCGATGGCAAACAGCTGGTTTCTGTTACCAAGGAAGGTCTTGAGCTCCCCGAAGACGAGGAAGAGAAGAAGAAACGCGAAGAGGACAAAGTCAAGTTCGAGAACCTCTGCAAAATCATGAAGAACATCCTGGACAACAAAGTAGAGAAGGTCGTTGTCTCCAACCGTCTAGTCGACTCGCCTTGCTGTATCGTCACGTCCCAATACGGCTGGACCGCAAACATGGAGAGGATCATGAAAGCCCAGGCTCTCCGCGATACATCAACCATGGGCTACATGTCGGCCAAGAAGCATTTGGAAATTAATCCAGACCATCCAATCATTGATAATCTTCGTGAGAAAGCAGAGGCTGACAAGAATGATAAAGCTGTGAAGGATCTGGTCGTCCTCTTATTCGAGACTGCTCTCTTGTCGTCCGGCTTCAGCCTTGACGAACCACAGGTCCACGCTTCTCGTATCTACAGAATGATCAAGCTTGGTCTTGGTATTGACGAGGACGAACCTGTCGTCGAGGAATCGATAGCCACCGAAGATGCTCCTGTTGCGGAAGCTGCCGATGAGGAGACTTCTCGAATGGAGGAAGTCGATTAATTACATTAGTTGTTTTTTTTTTTAAATATATTGTATGTAGTTAGTGCGCAAATGCAGGTAATGAAGCCACGTTTCATGTGGTTTTTGTCTTTCATGTGTTCATCATGACTTAAACATGTTTCTACGAAATTATCAACGTGAATAGGATTCTTTTCTAATTTCGACTGACTAATTTAACCATTCCTGTGTAAGACGAATCGTACACCAAATATGCTCTTAAATGTAAGGTTTGATAATAAAAAATATTTATCTTACATATTGATTGTTCTAAATTTAATTGTATACCCTAATCCCCATAAAATTTCTTGAACTCTGCGATAACTTTTAGAGTAAAATTTGTTTACAGTCATTATCTTGAAAAGCTTTTTTAATATTATGGTTAAATTGAAATTATTAATTATTTTAAATCAAAAAGAATAATGAGGTGTTCAAAATATATTCAATTGGTCCGTTGGGTCGTCAGCGCGCCCTACAGTGCAGCCTGTTAAAGATTGGAGATAAGATGCCTTCTGCTACTTGTACATAACTGCGTCGGCACGCATTCTAAATTTCGGATGTAAACCATCACACTATATACTTAATCTCAAATTTTGTAGTTTTACATGCCGTAAAATCAAAATATCAGTTCAAGTGCAGGACAGTATTAAAATGGCGAGCAAAGGATGGAAGGTAAATTATACAAAAATAAAATCTTCACATCGATTCGTACAAAGAACTAAAATTCAGCTATTTGGTTTTTTAGATTGTCCAGGCTCACGTGCCGCTGATAAGATTTCGAAAAGGCGGCAACATCAGAGGTAGATATAATCTTAACGAATTGTCATTAAAATATTTGGGAGTTTATTAAACATAAAAACGTAAAGTAAAATAACTGTTGGGGGTTGTGGTTATAAGATGTAGCGGGCGCAGGTCAGGTAGCGTCAGCTCTATCTGGTCCAGGGCCGGCGATATCCAAGCCCGCGGGCGCCACGGGCCCGAACGTCGTCGTACTGCCAACGATCGATGATTCTCAACTTCAACCCCGATTTCGAAGACGAATGATCGACTCCAAAGAAATCGAGTACATTAACGTGAGTACAGCCGGCACCCCCCGTTTTTATTTTACTTCATTATTTTTTTTTTATTCGTAGTTACGTAATTATAAAAATGACAGATGATATACACAATGTTCGAATGTTTTTGTTGCAGCGAGGAGGTCCCGAATAAGTCTGTTAATTCAAAATAAATGTTTAATTAAAGAAGAAATATTTACTTCGATGCTGTAAAATTAAGGGAAATTTAAGAAAAGTATAAGAAAAAACAATAAAACTACCACTGCTAAAGAAAAAAAAGTGAATCATCCAATCTGGTCTTTTGCCAACGGAACATGAGTTTCCTTGAACCCTCGTCCATCCACAGATCTCCTGCAAGGCTAACTTGCAAAAGTTGCGACACTACGTTCTTTATCAACAAGAGTTGAAGACATATGACACTTGCAGCGTAACATATAGAATGAGCGTATAGTACACACGTTAAGTTTGACATTGCCCATTGCCACGAGCGAGCTTGGTTGTATTTTTGGAGCTCAGACGCCTCTCTCTATATACGTATTCTTACCCCTCAAAGCAAAATGAGCAAGGAAGAGCTAGCATAGTCAAAAATAGAGAGAAGCTGCGCTCTCCGTCCCTACGAATATAAAATACCGTCTCGATTCATTGGTGCTTTTTTTATCACGCTTGTACTTATGATTAAAGTGTCAAGCAGGCAATGTTTTATTAATTATCGTGTCCATCCATGCGATGGGCCTACCATGTCTTATATACACCCCTGCTGATTAGCAGGCATGAAGAGAATAAATAAACACAGTAAGAGCAGACGACACATGCATTTGCACGCGCGGCGCGCGGCCCCCCCTGCCCATCCCCCTGCGTTGTCTTACAACGTCCAGCTTTTGCGTCATTTTCGCGTCGCAGTTTCCAACTTTTAGTACACACGGAACAGAGTTCGCGGGAGGGTGCGCGCGTGTGTGCTTTTAGCGACGTTACGGGCAGACCCTACCCAGGTCGCCGAGCTCTAGCTTCCCCGATGAAGCTACAGCTGCAGCCACTGCCCTGACGATAATTCAATGTACGTAGACTTTTCCTTCAAAATATCTATTTTACATAAGTAAACAAAAGCCTGCACACGAGCGATGAATGACCTTAGCCTTTTTTTTCTTTCAAGTATAGACACATTTTTTTTTTTAAATAATTCATCCGACAAGGTTTTTGGAAAAAGCTGGAGGAGGATCAGATCAAACAAAAATGGTCACGACGACGCACGATAACGCCTTCGGGCCCAGAAAAACGGTGGTCATACTCGCAGTCGTCGCGGGCTGCTTTGCCGTGCTCTGGCCCAAAATTTTCTACCCGATGCTCATAGCCTCGTACGCACCGCCACCCAGTGCGGATAGCACCGGTAAGTACCCTCGAGGTCGATACGTACAACAACAACCTACATATCGTGCGGATTAAGTACGCGACCGAATTCACAGATTCACTCATCACCTTCTCGTATAGGCTTCCCCGAAACCTTCTGTTTCATATCACAAACCTCTAGCAGCTTGATTTATGTAAGAACAATTGCGTCTTTTCCATTTAAACTCAAAGTCAAGCGACTATCTTTATGATACGTATAGGCTGCTGCGACGTGATATTCGAAAGCGACGTGACCGCCGTTGACATAATGCAGGAGCTCTGCCACAACATAATAAGACACCACCAGGTTGATCCCCGGGTACGGGATGCCATTGAGACGAGCAAATTTAACAAGCTAAGCCCGTCGAGCGCGAGCTTGTGCCGAGAGGAGGTGCTCGCCAGGTGCGGCATTGACTTGTCCTCGTTTCTGGCCGAGAAAGAGAGACTGAAAAAGTCATACAAACAGGTCTTGGAGGAGATCAGGGGCTTTAATGGCTCTTTCTGCCTGAAAATGCAATTTGGCGTGCCGTTGTCGCGATTGGGCACGCCCCATCTCATTAGATATCACATACTGATGCCGCACAGTAAGATTCGAGTTTTGATGATGATAATTAAAAAAAAGCATATAAAAACTGCGTTGACGGTTCTCAGTGTGCGCGTGTGAAGTTTGCTAACCGATATTTTGGCATTCCTATACCTTATACCTGTGGCTGCTCCTACCTTACTTTTGGATACCTACATTCAACTGTTTTTATATATAACTGTCCAACTAATACCCCTAAAAACACTGTCTCATCTCAACTAAATGCTTCTTAATAAGATATTTAATATACTAAAAGATAATTGGATGGCATTTTGGAGTTTTAATGACTAATTATCGTTTAACAAGAATATTTTGATGTTGGAGCAACAGATAAGCCATTCTCGATCAGTCTGCTCTTGTGCATGCATTATTATATGAAGAAAGTAGTCTTGAGGCATCCATTTGATGATTGGCTTGTTGCCAAATTCAAAAACATAATATTTGGCAAGCACAAGTTTTAAAAGCTCTGTCATGGTTTGAAATACATTCTCCAATATTCTCTCAGAAAAACAAACTAACAACTTTTTTTTTTTTTTTTATAAAAACACCAAAAATAAAAAAAAAAATTATGATTATTTTCTTGCTTTATGTAATATTAATACTACACTAATGACATCACAGTCGCAATATATTTATACTAATTCTCTCGATAACAGGTACTATAAAACAGGAGAGAGCAACACCTCCACATGCCGGAAATTATCACCCTGCTCTCAGAGAACGTGGTAGAGCCATTCCATCATCCCATATTGTACCCAACATCCAAGACAGACCTGACCACGTACAACCCATGAAAATGAGGCCGCCTATGGGCGCCGGCCATATGGTGTCAACGCCTAAAGGCAATGGCTCCATGGGAATTCTCATGCCACTTTACACTGTTGGCATTGTTATCTTTTTTATCTATACAATATCAAAGGTACTTATGGGAATCATCATGCCCCTTTATACGATCGGAAATGTTGTATCTTTACTCTATAAAGTTCTCCAGGTATTTAGATTTTGCCACTTTGGTTTGATTTTCTCCTAACAAATTTTCTTGTTTTTTTTTTTTTTTTTTTCTGTTATTAACATGGATTGACATTTTTTTTTTTCTTTGGCTGTTTTGATTTTTTCTTGAGAAATTTTTTTTTCCCAGAACTAATAATTTACAACGATTTTTAGCTCCTCAGAAAATCATCGGATAGTGAAATATTGCGACGGGAGTATTCAACAGACGCAGCCGAAAGAGAGTACCAAAAATTGGTTTTCAATCCCGAGATTTTTGCCTCAGCTGTAACTGCATCCAGTAAAGCACACTGTGAGAAAAAAGAACAGAGACCTGATACCCCGGAGGAACCGGTGCCTTCTATGGAAGAATTAAAAGAACGTAAGTTTCACATTTATATAATATTAATAATCGCGTAAACTTGACGTTAATGTTAACGGGAAGAGAAAAATTATTGATATTGCCATTCATACTCCAATTACGACTGTAAAGCCTTACATGAATATTGTACATGCTGCTCTCTGGGGATGAAAGAAGCAGCTGGAGATATAGAAATAGACCAGCTGAGGCGGCGTTTGGTAGAAACGGAAGCGGCTATGGAGCGTATCGTTGCTCAAATGAGCAACTTGTCGCGTTCTGTTGTGAATTGTTCAACCCCCACACCAGAATCCAAGGTTTTCACTATCAATTTTTGAAGCAAGCCCTTTTTTCGTATAATTCGTTTTTTTTTTTTTTTTTTTTTTTTTTGTAATATTCAATGTAATCTTATTCTCTTTCGTTTATGTAACTCGATAATTCAACTGCACGATGTTTTTGCGCACGATTATAGCTTATTTTTTTGCATCATTTATCAAATGTACCTACAGATTCATAGAGTTTATTTTTTTATGCTACACTGCCAAATATTATTTTTTTAACAGATGACCTACACTTATAGTTGTTGCGTACAGATATGTATTTTTGTAATATTTAGAATTTAAATACATACAATTATGTTGCTGTGGAGATACAATAAAATATGCTATTAGATATTATTGTTACCTTCATTTTGCTCAATCACTTCTTTGTTAATGCATCATGTATTTTTAATTTTTACGTTATTCAAGAAAAAAAAAAAAACAGGTAGGTGTACTTATAATAAGTGTAAATATTAATTAGTTTAGATAGCTCGGATTGGAGGTATTGGCAATTGAAGTATTCGTAATTTAAGTTATATAATTTTTTATTTTTTCAACAAGTAGATCAAACTTCAAAGCCTAATGGTCTGGCAGCAAAGGTCAGCCCCAATTTAAAGGTATTTTCCTATCACTGGAGAGTGTTGCTCTCTTTTTTGGAAAATAACCATTAGTTTGCTGCTGTTTTAGGCTAAAATAAAAAAATTTCTCCTTTCTCCATAACTGACCACCAGTATTGTACTTTTATTTGAAGAAAAAAATTTTTTTTTGCTTATTTGAGACTTGGCAATATTTTGCTAAATCATATAATTTCATTAATGTTTTTGTTTTTCAAAGTTTACAGCTTCTTCCTAACTTGGCATGCTTATGCGAATTATTGTTACGAATTTGTAGTTGTCATTTTTGTATAATAAATATTTTAATAACACATAAACTCTAATACAATTTTCATCATTAGGAATCAAGCATTTCTGAAGAAACTCCTGATCATGTTGACAAGGAGCTTGAAGAGTTACATGAAACGCCAACAGTAAGAGTTGTAAATATGGAGATGACTGCATCATGCGAAGGAGGTAGACGTAGTCGCCCATCAACACCTATTTTGGTACCTCAATGGTAAATAACTTCTGAGATGTATCAATCTTTATTAAAAAAAAAAAATTTATATATATATGTNAAATTGAAAAATTTGTAACAGACAAATCATAAAAAATAAATTTCTCTTTGTTATAGTTGAAAGAATATGAGGTCATTGGGCGTAAATTGCCCACAGAGAAGATTAAGCACACACCTCTCTACAAAATGAGGATTTTTGCTCCAGATCCCATAGTTGCTAAGTCAAGATTTTGGTATTTCTTACGTCAACTCAAGAAATTTAAAAAATCCACGGGAGAAATTGTATCCATGAAACAGGTAAAACCCAAAGAAATGTCATTGACGTCCGTTTTTAAATTAATAAAACTCAATTTGTATCATATTTTTAGGTCCCTGAAAAGTCTATAATAATAATAACGTATTAAAACAAATAACATATTTCAGCCCAACTGAGGACAGGGAGAAAACTCCTCCAATCTCAATTTACCTGGAAGGAGCCCTTCCCTCCCAGTGTGAGCTGCTAGTAACAGACTCAAAAACACAGGAGATCCTGGAAGAAGATGAGAACGTGGAAGTTCCAGTTGTTCTGTCCGGCAAAATGACACTTTCCCTCATCAGCCTTGACCAGGTAGCAGCTGTAAGAAAATATTAAAAAATAACCATCAGAATCAAATGAAACTACGGAATCTTTTTTTATTTGGTGATTCTTTCATTTATATAATTTTTCTGGTTTTGCATTGAACAAAATAAGGGTTGATGACATTAACCCCAGCTAACTTTCCCATTAATTATGATAATGATAACATCAGAAATGCAATTGAATAATCCAGTAACACCAAGCTTTCATTACTGCATAGTGATGTACTAACAACTAATTCAATTTTGACTAGATAAATAAAAAATGAACGTTATTATTTTTCATTCGAATTCTATTTGGCGAATTTCATTGTATTTTATTTAAACTTCAATTTGAGTTTTTCATTCTCATGCATGACCAGTTAAGATATGAATGTCTAATGTTTTTATAATTTTAATATAGGAATCCCCACAAGATGATCAGTTTGAAAGTACTGCTACACGCAAAGTAACGTCGAGTAAACAAGAAAATTCACCGGTTGATGTACATAAAAAAAGATTAGAAAAATCAGACGATAAACATCAGGAAGCAAAGGATAGTTATGAAAGTGGTAGCGACGAAAGCGGAGAAATCAGTGATTATGATAATTTGGATAGTAATACTGATCTACTTAATAATCAGAAATCAATTGTTAAAAAATTTATAGAATCCGAAAAATTGTCTAGTAAAAATTCAGTCAGCAACTCTGATGAAGAAGATTCTGAAACTGATGATTACAGACAAGATTATGAACGTAACGTAGCGCTCCTCAAAACGATACAAAGAGAAAAAAATCGTCGATTGGAACGAATGAAGGACAATAACGACAGTGAGGAAGAAAATGAAGACGAAGAAGATGAGGAAGAAGAGGAGTTTGACGATGAGGAAGATGAATTTGAGGAGGAGGAAGAGGAAGAGGATGATGACGAACAAGTAGAAGAAGTAGAAACACAAGAAGAATATGAGGAAGATGGAGATGAACTAGAAGACGAAGTATCAGAAGAAGAAGACGAAGAATTTGAAGAAGAGGAGGATGAGGAGGAAGAAGAAGAAGAGGAAGAAGGGGAAGAAGAAGAAGATGAAGAGGTAGAAGAAGAAGAAACTGATGACAAAGAAACGATGAAAAAATCTCAAGAAATAAAAATCGAGCACAGTAAAAATGCCACTAGTTTTAAAAATAAATAGGAAAATCTAGTTAAAGTTGAAAGAATTAACGTTTATACGCAAATTACGATAGAAAATTTATAAAAGCGTTTTTTACCAAATCATATTCGAACATAAATCTATGTGAACTAGAACTTTTTTGCATTTTTTCGGTAAACAGTTCTACAGTGTTCTTTTTTTTTTCAATTATCATGGGTGTGCATGTTGTTGATAATATGTAGATAATTTTGTATGCTAGAAATAAATTGATCAACTGTGAAAGTCTGTACGAATTTGATTAAACTAAAAAGTATGCTATTCTTGTAATTTTTAAAAAAGCAATAAACTTGGTGCCATTAAAATATTGTTTTCAAAAAATTATGTAATTACTTCGATATACATCAAGTTTGAATATTTTTTTTCACCTCTTAAGTAAAACACTTTATTCTGCCTTGTATGTTGGTTGAGTATCATAGTATTATTAATTTGCATTAGTGAATTCTTCCATTGAAATACACAGCCAATTCCTGTCTTGAGTGGAAATTTGTTTTTAAATATTGTTTCATTGATAGTAAGTACAGTACATGGTACAGTATGAGTATAAATTAAACTAAAGTTGTAAAAAAAACTTGGTTTGAATTATTTTGTCCTCACGTATTTGAACTGATTTTTTTTTTATTTTTTAATGCTTTTAATTATTAACATTATACGCGTGTTTGAATATAATTTATGCGTATATATATTTTATTGTTGGAGGTGTTTTATATGGGTGATACGAATAAGGTAGGTATCATGCTTATCGATACTAAATACTGACGTTTCACGTTTGCCCTCTCTCTCTCTCTCTCTCTCTCACTTCACTTCGTCCACTTGCTACAACACGCGTTTTGTCAATTTTTTCTCGGTTCTTGGGGTGAATTTAATTAAGTATTGTGGTGATTCTCGTTCAACTGTATTAGTAGAGGTTTTTGATTAATTTCATTACTCACAACCATGAAAGCTAAGGGAGAAGTAAGTCAATTTTCGTTTTAGTCTACTAATATTTAGCGTTTCAATATACATAACATTCTCTTTAACAAAGTTTACTTAGGTTATTTAATCATTACTTCGATAATTAATCTTAATCTAGTCAAGATACAGGGTGATTTATTTTATGTTGTACTATCTATACTACTTATATGATTACAAACATTTTAAACAATAATTGCTAATCTGACAAATAAAAATTAACGTTTTACTAAATCGGTTTCCAACAGTCTGTATATAATCAGAATAAAGCTTTTTGGATGGCTATCAAGTTTATCTCAGAAAAATAAAATTGAAAAATTTGTAACAGACAAATCATAAAAAATAAATTTCTCTTTGTTATAGTTGAAAGAATATGAGGTCATTGGGCGTAAATTGCCCACAGAGAAGATTAAGCACACACCTCTTTACAAAATGAGGATTTTTGCTCCGGATCCCATTGTTGCCAAATCCAGATTCTGGTATTTCTTGCGTCAACTTAAGAAGTTCAAGAAATCGACTGGAGAAATCGTATCTATGAAGCAGGTAATGTACCTATAACCCGTTGATCATGCAGTTTTCAACTTAAATGCTTAAATATTAACTATTAAATATAATTTTTCGTAGGTCCCAGAAAAGTCTCCCTTGAAAATCAAAAACTTTGGTATCTGGTTGAGATACGATTCCAGGTCAGGCACCCACAACATGTACAGAGAATACAGAGATTTGACTGTTGGTGGAGCTGTTACTCAGTGCTACAGGGATATGGGAGCTCGCCATCGTGCCAGGGCTCACGCCATACAGATAATTAAGGTAGAGGTCGTCAAGGCCAAAGACTGTAAAAGGCCTAATGTCAAACAATTCCACAACTCTACAATCAAATTCCCCTTGCCCAAGAGAATCGCACACCGTAACAGAATGCCCTTGTTCAGTGTTCGCAAGCCAAGGACTTACTTCCTTTAAGATCTATTGGATTTTTATTTAATACCGTTGTAACATCTTGATACAAGGAAATAAAAATTAATGTACTTTATTTTAAAATAATTGTGTGTTCATTGGTAATATTAAGAGAACGATAATCGTATTTCTGAAATCAATTTTTTACATAATACAAAAAAGAAAACATTTGNATAACAAACTTAGATTAATTAAAAGCGAAGAGATTGCAGTCTAAATGCTAATTCAATTAAATTTTGAGGTGTACAGTCTTGATAACATATATACAATTCCTTAGGTCTTGGAGTATTATATAATCTACCAACTATCCAATAAGTACAATTTTCCCATTCAAATAGAATTCCATGTTCTTTTATTGCAATCAAACTTTTATTTATCACAGACTTGCCTGCATCATGGCTTAGTAGTTTTTTATATCGTTTAGTATCACTCAAAAGTTTGTGAATTTTTTGACTATAAATATTTAAATTTGATACAAATTCACTGTCTAACTGACTCAGTCTTGATGATATTAAAACACCTTCGAATAAATCTATATGTACATAGTAGAGAAGAGAATTCCTGTCTCCTGTTGTTATGACTTTTGGAATTATATATTCTGCTTGATTCAACAAATTTTCTCGGATATTACTAATGTCAGAGATTGCTTGATTATTCTAAAAAAAAAAAAAAAAGGAAGCCTTACATTAATATCATTATTGAGAAAAATATTGAAATTCTCAATTTTTGTAATACTTCTAAATCTGAATCGCTGTCATCAGAAAACTGTGTCTTTGCTGTGATGTTTGCTTTTTCTCTGGTAGCTCTTCTGCCCAATATTGGTGCAGCCTGGTCACTCATTTCACTGACTTGGCTCAGAGAATCCTGGCTTGGTGAATCTCTTGAAGTTTCGAAAGGATACACTAAAAAGAATTGAGTGTAAATATGTGAATTTACAAATTCTTTTAAAAAAACGTGCTTCAAAAGTACCGGGACTGTCGAATCGCGATTCATCGCAAGTTTTTGTTTTCCCGATATTTGAAATTTCGTGCGCTGATTTCGCGACAGAACTAGATGTCACAATGCTGGAAGACTTTGACTGGTTTGTTTTTATAAGACCAACAAGATTGTCAGCAATACTCGAGGGTATCTTTAAGAATGATGATTCTTTTTGAGGAATCATCAATTCTGGCTTAGCATTCGCGTTAATCCATTTTTCTGCTAACATTGGGATGCCTATTTTCCTTATGTGCTTGAGGGTGTCCTGAGCCTCTTCGACGTAAAATATATCTGGGCCCGAATTTTCTTCAAGCCTGAAATTTAAACAAACGTCAAAAGTTATTTTTTTCGTAGATTTTTAACGACAAGAAATAACTTACACTGCCGTGCAGCCTCCAGACTCCAAAATAACTGCTAACAAATCGTGACCATACCCTACAATTAACAAAAACCACTTGTCTGTCAATGGATAAACGTTTTCTTCTTCCCACAGTAATTTTCTATTTACACACGATGCAGGGTATATTCTTTTCCACAACACTAGAGATTTAACTTGTTCGCTGTTCATCAAGTTAATTAAACCGTGTCTTCTTAAAAATGAATGCACTTGTGTTAAATCTTCGGTTGGCAAATGAGATCCAAGTAAATATCTTCTGTGATACAAACAGCTTCCTAAAATCGTGTATAATCTCTGGCACTCTAGTGGATCTTTATTCTGCGTAAATAGAAAATGATTTTCAACGATTTAACCGACATTGCGTAAAAAGTGACGGAAATGAAAACTACCCAGTCTCTGTAATCCATGGCTTCCATTTCGCTCAGAGCTGCGTCAATTTGTATTTGAGCGTCCCTTGGTAAATTCACCGATTCAACAGCCGGTAGTAAAAAACTAAAATCACACTGCTTTATCTCATCAGTATTCGTACTACTTTTTATACTTTCCAAATTAAGTTTATTAGCCGCCGTTTTGTTTTTGCAAAGACGCGAAAACAAGAGGTAAAAAAAGTGATCCAAATGGAAGTGGTTTTCTTCGCCCGCAAAACACGTCGAAATGTTTTCATTGGTAAAATTTAAGCAGCAAACTACGTCTGCGGCAAGTTCTATGGCTTCTTCTTTACTGCAACTGTTGAGAAAAAAAAAAAAAAAAAGCTTTAGTACAATAGACTATGTATTTTGTTAACAATAATATTCCTTACCATTTTTCCGGGAAGGATAAAAGAAGTAAATCTTCTTTGTGAAGAAAGTAAATAACGTGTGCCAATCCACTCGGAGTTTTAACAGTTGTACTAAAAACCAAGAGCTTGTGGTAATTATCCGCGAAAAAGAATGGAAAATATCTCACTTTGTTATTCGTTTTCTCACCTAACGGGCTGAGGCCCAATGATTTCCGGTAACAAATGATTCAAAGTTATGTACGCCCCTTTCGTAAGCGAGAGAAAAGATTGCGCGCCCCTAATTTTAGATTTGGGAAAGGAATACACCACACCCTGCATGTCCGATTCACCTTCCGAAAACTCCGACACTTTGACGCAAATGACGCCCAGGGGCTCTTTGATCAGCGAATCCATCAGAATTTTACTTTCCTCCTTATCAACTAGTTTTCTCGCCAGCAACGATTGCTTCAAAAAACAATAAATAACACGATTCATCGACAAAAATCAAAGTCGTGGTAAAAAAAAAAAATAAAGGCACTGCGGGTGAACTCACGTTTGGACATCTGACGGTAGGCGACAAACTTTTGTAATTCCCTTCGCAACCGTTCCTCTGAAACTGGCAAATCACCTGAAACAAAGACCAACCCGTAAACACAAAAAAAAAAATCGGCTCGTCGACCGGCAGCGTCTTACACTCGTCGGAGCAACAAACGCCGAAAGCACCGCGTCCAGGGTGTGGCAATTGACTTCCTTGGAATTAACAGACTGCAGCCAGTCCCCAGCTCTGATGTCCTTGAGGGCCTCGCCGTCTGGCACGAAGCCCGCGACGAGCACCTTCGACTTGTCCGAGCCTATCCTCGGAACGATCCCCAAATAAGCCTCGCAAATGGTCGCGCGCCTCCCGAGCTTGTGCCGCTTCTCCGGATCCACCCAAACGCTCACCGCGTACTTTTCACCCCCGCTGAAGTCGTCCGGCGCCGCCGACTGTCTCTCCCGGTTGATTTTACTGATGGACTCGTGGTTCCGTTTGAGCTCCGAGGCCAAACCGCTCAGCCTGACGCTGTGCCTGTAGCTTTCCTTGCGCTTGATCAGCCGCAGGAGTTTTCCTGCTCTCGTGCTCCGGCGACGCGTCAGTTCACACCCGGCCGAGTCGTTCAGCTGCAGGTTGCTGGCATCATCGGTCGTTGTTGCTTTGCTGTCGCTCTGGCCGTTGCCCGAGGACTCGATTATCGATTCTATGTGAAACACCTCGCCCGCGGCGCTCACCTCCGACTCCCACTCGATGGCTGAACTGTGGAACAAAATTTAATAACAAATTGAGGATTTTTTTTTTTTTTTTTGTTCGCTTCTTTTCAACCGATCATCGGCTCACCCGGAACTGTTTGAGTAGTAGGACCCAGAACTGGAACCACTGTCGCTGGCCCAGCACTCGTGTTCCTCGTCGACCACGGGATTACCTTTGTCGTAGCCGTAAGGGTGATCGTCGTTTTTTTCTTTCGAGCTGCTCATTTTGTCGTGGTTGCTATTTTAATTTGTTTATCGGCATCACTTTACCGCCACTACAAAGGGACTAAAAAAACAGCAACAAGATAAGTAGATAACGAAAGCCACTCGATTGTCATCCTTTTTTTCTTTTTTTTTTTTTTTTTTTTTTTTTTTTTTTCTTTCTTTGCAATGGAAGTTCTAGTGATGAATAGACGCGATCGGTTTCGAGAAAACAACGAGAGTCGCGATTTTTCATGAAAACACTATTGGTAGGTTTTTTTTCTTTTATAACTGAACATTTTTGTACACGCTTGAGAGAGGGTTGAGCGTCGCCATTGGCGTGAGAAAAGGTGAACAGGAGACGGTTCACAGGTGATAGTATTGTGCTGCGGAGGAAGACAAGGTAGTAGAGCGAGTATCAAGGGAAGGGGGGAACCGGTCAAGCATAATTGCGGCATACCTGCATCACGCGTTCCGATGTGTATATGTGATATGCGTTCTCATGGCGGGGCGGAATAACAATAGGGGTGCAGGAACGAATGCGGTTGAAGACACAACGCGGCTCACTTAATATTAATAGTAGCGCTGACTTATTCCTTTTTTTATTTTTTATGATCATGTCATTGTTTTCTTGGTATTTGGGGTGCGTGGGTTTACGATAATAACTATGAAAAACGAACATGAGTTTTGTTATGAAATATGTATTTTAAGTTTAATAAAAAACATGTTTATAAAAATACAAAAGCATTCAGTTTCCGTATAAACTTGATACTAAAATCAATTAAGCGTCACTTTTCAAACTATAAATCATCACAAGTCTTCATTCCTACGTGGAAGCAGTTACAGCTTAACGAGTGTAGATTTCCTATATAAAAACAAATTTAATCGAAATTTTCCTACCAACAGTTCATTTTATCTGATAGACTGCTTCAATCGCGAAGTAACAGATTTTGTCTCGGCAGGCTCTTTTTTCTTGCTGGGATCCGACTGAAAGCATTTCCACAGTCTCAAAGTTTCATCTGCTCCTGCACTGAGTACTGTGGTTCCATCAGGTGACATAGCTAGATGTAATACACGACTTGTGTGTCCCGTCAATTCTGCCACTTTGTTCATTGAAGGATATTTCCAGATTATCAGCTGATTTTGCGCATATCCATGTCCTGATACTATTTCTTTGTAAGTGGTGGACCACAAAAGGGAGCAGACTTGTGATTTAGTATCAATTGTATTTAAGCAGGCACCTTAAATAGTAAACAAAATAGTTAGAAAATGCTTTTGAGAATTTTTTGTTACTTGAAAACTTTTTTGTTTTTCCCTACCCGTATTACAATTCCAAAACCTAATAGTTCTATCAGCTGTACCACCTCCACTGGCCAAAACGTGATTTTGCCATGGACACCATGCAAGAGCTTTCACAGCAGCTTGATGACGATTTAACGAGTAAATTGGTTGCGAGTGAGAATGATTTTGACCAGCCATTGAAGGCCAAATTTGCAGCATATTGTCATTTCCACCACTAGCTAAATATTTTCCGTCTAATGACCACTTTAATCCACAAACTTCTTGAGAATGAGCATCCAGTGTAGAAACAATATGATCACGTTGTCTTACATCATGATGTACAATTTGGCCTGCTCTAAAATATAAGAAAGACATTGTTTTTTAAACTATCAAAAAAAAATACTATACTATACTTTGGATTTATGTAATAACATTTAATCATTACCTGCATCCACTTGATACAATATGAGAATTCCAAGAAAGAGACCCAACTCTCGCAGCATGTCCATTCATCACGCGAACTCTCTTCATTTGACTACAATCCCATAATTCCGTATTACCCACAGTTGTACCTACAGCTAAGTAAGGTCCTTCTTGAATCCACGAGACTGAACAAATGTAATCGTTGCCTTCCAATTCAAAAAGTTGTTCTATTGATCCAGTTGCTGCATTCCATAAATACACATTTGCTCCTAAGGCTACAGCTAAAATATTACCCTGTGACCAATCTATCAAATTTAAATCTGAAAAAGTATGTTTACAATTAATTTACAAACATTATCAATTAGCTACATTTTTTTTTACTCCAGTACTTACAATAATCATCAACAATTTCGGGCGCGTCCAATATTCTATCTGGTGCTTGTGGAATATACCTAGATGAAGTTTTAACACTAGCTGGGGTTTTAGACTGGCTGTAGACTACCCTCAAAGGATTTAGGTATCCTTCTGGTGGTGCTGGTGCTTTGTTCTGATAAGACAGGACTCTCATGTTACTCAAATCTCCACCATGCAAGTTTTCTCCAATCAAACGCTGCATTTCACGTTTTGAAGGACTTATACTCTCCATTTTATTGCCATCTTGTTCTGAGTTGTTCTGTTGCTGCATCTATTTTAAATTTTTAATTCATTATTTAGATGTATAATGAAAAAAAAACTTTTAAAATTAGTTACCACATACTTTAAAGTGACCCAGTTCAAAATTGGTTGTCGACCTAGCTGGAATAAATCTATCACCTCCACATGGAGTCTTTGGAGTTGTTGAACGGCCTAGAGAACATTAAAACTATTCACAACTTCCATATATTGAGCAAATATACATAACATCGCAGTTGTAAAACTTACTAGGCGACTTTTTGTTTCCCTTTGACGGAGTTTTTTTGGAATTGCGGTTTTCCAAACCTTTCTTTGGGGTTTTGGCAGAACTCGAATTACAGTTGCTCATCGATGACGTGTTCATCGCCTTGCGTGAATTGTTCAAGCTCAGATTTGCACTGTAAAATGTATTCAATTGAGGCCCGGAAAAAAAAAACAAAAAAACAATCGACACCTACCTTGAAGAATTTGATGAATCCATACATTTTTTCTGCCATCGAGGCACAGGACCTTTTATCGCGTCATCCATCCTCGTACAACTGTTCAATTCTTTCATATACTTTAAGTGAGACATTTTGACTCTTAAGAAAGTGGTAAGTAATGGTTTTTATGCAAGCTGAAATTAATGGCGCAGCTATCTCCAAATAGCGCGTTTTCGTCCGCCTTACTCGATGGTATGTGTGAGGACCTTCAAGTTACGACTTGGTTATCTCTAATTGAACCTATTATTCACATAACGGAAAGATTTAGAAATTGATAACGTGTATGAATGACCAATGACTCACCTGTATAACTTTTGACTTAATTACTTGATTATCACGAGTCAATTAAAAGGATAAAATGCGTATTCATCAACGATGCGAGCTGCAATTATAGTACGGTACGTTTAAATGTTTATACATGCATTGAGCGTTTGAGTTTTTAAAAGGACGCACGTCTCTCTTGTACAGAGAGAAAGAGGGTCCGCTAGCTTCTGGATATATAGATATATATGCAAAAAGATTGAAAGTCCGTTAAAATTTCAAAAATTATACGATCGGCGCTAAATATTTGCGCCAGAAAAGGACTGGGTATGGTTAGGTTAGGATCATCTGTTGAGCAAATGTGTGTATGCATACATAGACACCATATACTGCGTGTGAGTGTGAGTATTCAAAATCCGAATCCAAGGATCCAACCTTGAAAGACTAAAATACCTATTACTCGTGGCAGTGATTTATGGATGTATAGAGACTGGCTAGACTGCACAAGTGCATATGCGCGTATTTAGAAATAATTTTTAGGTACATGTTAAGTATTTGCGATCAAGAATACGGGGAAAATTATCCAATTCGTGGCGGAACTACACATGATCAATTCAGAAATCGGAATCAATTAATTTAAATCATTTTTTTCCAATAAAAAAATAACCATATACTTTTATCATAAAATTTATTATATTTGAGGAATCATTTTTTTAGGTAGATGTCTATCAGGAAAAAAATTAGTATTCGCGAAAAATGAGATACGAATTATGCTTGTTTGACTAATTACCTTTGACCTCTTTATTAATACAAATAATTTTTGTTTATAAAACACAACAACACAATGCAAGAAATGAACGATTAAAACATAATAAATGTTGCGTGTAATGAATGAAAAGCTGAATATCATTTGTCAAATAAGCGTTTACATACAAAAGTCACATTTATTATTTCCATTTCATATATCTATATATAATATATTTATATATTTATGTGTACTCATATACACATAAATGAGTATATGTATACGTACTTACTGATTTGTTAACTAAATGAAGTGTTATTAAATATCATAGGGTGAAAAAACTGCACCATATGAATTTCTTTCTTTTCATATTTGAAACATAAAATAAAAGTAGAACTTGTGATTTTAACTTATGTGGGTTATTTAAATTATTATTATAATTTACTTACAATTCTTCTCTTATTAATAGCAAGATCAATCCATTATATGGTAATTAAGAAATAATTATTGAACTTAACTAAATAATCTAAATCAGCCTACAGGAGTTGTCTTTCATAGAAATCGTAGTCTCCATTGGCATCTTCCTACATTTTTAACCATTTTAGTTTGATCTTCACTTACATTCAATCTTAACTAACTAGTTGGGAACGAAAATAAAATATATTATAAATTTAATATTTACTTTTTGTTTCTTTTATCACTAGCATCTTATAATTTGATGGTGTATAATCTTACAGTATTATGCTGGTAGTGCTAGCACAATTCCTTTAATCAATATCATTGATTCATGCGATATTATACGTTTATAACTTTTCCTCTCATTATTTTTCATCATTCGTAAAACTTACACTAATATCCCAAAAAATTATTATAGTTTCTCTAAAATAGATACATACAAAAAGTTCTTCAATTTTTATTTAAAATCTCACCGATTTTTACAAAATGTGTTACAGTAAGAGAAAAAAAAGCATTTCCATTATTTTTTCCATGATAGATTAAATTTTATGTACACATGCAATGGGATTGCTTTTTTATAAATTTTATTTCATTCATTTAATCAATGATATCTGTCGCTTTACTTTGTCAGTATTATGTTTCCTTGGATGAATAATGTAATGAATAAAATTTACTGAACAGTTTATAATTCGCAACTATCTGAACCTATTTTGTATCTTTTACGTCAAATCACTCAAGTGTCAATAGTTTGAGTTTGAATTTACAATCAATGTTGTATAATTTAAAAATTTCTAATATATTTATTCATATACTTATTTCATATACATAAAAAAGTAACTTTATAAGGTGATGTGGATAAAGTATACGGACCTCACAAGATATTTCGAGGTTCAAGAAACTTATTTTCTTGAACATGATTAGATAGACAAAATTTTCTTTGCAAATTTAACACGAAATCATGACGTTGTTTTTATTAGCTTTTTTAACGATTGCTCCTTATTACACTTAAATGCTCAGTGCGCCTTTTTATATTATTAAAGATAATGATTGTGGGATGATTGAGAGACACAAATAGTTTTTCCTGTTAAAAATAGGAGACAAATTGTTACTAAAAAGCTTGAAATATAGTAATTTTCTAATGACTCGAAGCTCAAATAGCTTGAGCATAAATTTAAGGTTTATATTTATTTATAACATTTCTTTTTGATCTATTTACACCAAGTTTTTAGCTTCAAGACATTAAAAATAATTTGTGTCTCTTTTGAATTAGCTCTTAGAGGGCATCTAAACTTTTTTACATTCATCCCGGGCTTGTCGCTTTCGCATAACTGTTTAATCTCCTTGATATTTCAATCATACGATCAACACAGTCATTCTTGTTGTCGGGTTGCATATCAGCAGAACAAATTTCAATTGTGTATAACGCTCTTTTCTCACGTTACGTTACTTGTTCACGAAAAATTATCGTTCGTCGTGTCTGATTTCACTTTTTTTTGAGGCGAATTTGCATGTGATCGAGTATCTGCCACTGGCCTCTTTACTTGCATATTACTTTTGACACCTGTTGTTGGATCTGAAATATTTATAATATAGTGTAAATGTTATATACTTTACTCCAATATATATTATCATCGACTCTGAAGAATGTTTTTTTACCTTGTAACCACCTCACTTGTGTCGCTGGCCCATATCCTTTTTCATTGCGCGCTGCTATTCTGAAGATTATAGCTGGTTTAGTCGTGGTATCAACGTGAGCGGCACTCAGAGACTTATTAGATACGGTACACGCGGCAGCCGGACCACAATAAACCCTAATAAATGACGGCTGCGCTGGCGTTGTTGAAGTCACTTCTCCCGAGTTATCCGACATGGCACTAGCACTTCGCACTATTAAATATACCGAATACTCTATAATGGGGCCTGCATTGGTGGACGGCGGTTCCCAAGACAGCTGAGCACCTTCCGATGATTTCAAAATTTTTATAGCACTTGGAGCACCAGGGAATCCAGGAAGGCAAGTCTTGAAGGCTGAAACCTAATGAACAATTCACAGCAATTAAAATAAAGTTACAACCGTGAATCCCCTATACTAAAAATGTGTCTATTTACTTCGCTCCAAGGGCTCTGACCACAGCTATTAACCGCAGCCACTCTAAATTTGTAAGCAGTTCCGGGTTCCAAAACTACTTTTGTTTTTCCCTTGAATAAATCGGTAGAAAGCCCTTGTGCCAAATCTATTGGCTGATCTCCTAGAAGATAATAGTGTTGCACTAAACAACTGTGACTTTTTATTACCCCTACATTATACCATTCGTTGGTCTTTTTTTCTTCTTCTTTAGATTTTTCTTCCTGTAATAGATAAACCGTTTATTATTCAAGAGTAATCAGTTTAAAAAGAGAAAAAAAGACTTTACAACTCACGTTACTAATGTTATTAGTTTGCGACTCTTGTTTTAAGACAGGTAAAGGTTGTGCAGGCTGTGCAGTTTCTGAAGATCCTAACGCAGCTGTTGCTAAGGTAGCCAATGCCATATCTAGGCTAGTTGTATCATCGAGTTTTTCCTGCTTAACTTTAACTGCAGGTGTTATGGATTTATTTTCAGAATTCGTTTGAACTACAGGCTTGGATTCCATTTTAGAGGAAACTTCAGGTTCTTTTTTTAAGGTAATATTGGTCTTTGCATTTACGGGAGTAGACGGAGTAGACACACTAGGTTCAGGCTCTTGGGATCCATCCATAGGATCATCGGATTGCAAGATGTGCTTTGGACTTGTAGGTACTTTAGATGGGACATGCGTTGTCGCAGGGGTTGAGTCTGCAGCTAGAGGCTCTTCAGCCGATGAAGGTTCTGATGCTGAAATCGACTCAGACTCACGTTCCGGAGCCAGAGGTGCTGATAATGGCTCTGTAACTGATGATGTGGACGTTGGTGTTGCCTCGGACGAATCAATACACATAGGTTCACTTTCATCTTTTTTTTTAACGGTATTCTCTGCAGATGCAGCCTCAGCTTTTTGGTTCGATCCTTGTGCTTCTTCTGCTTCTGATGATTGAGTAGGCTGAGCTTCACTCTCGGCTGTATTCGATTCATCTAATATTTTTTCAACTGGCTGCTCACTGGGAGTCGGTTCGCTTTGAGCCTCGCTTGATTCTTGAGGTAGCGCACTTTCAGTGCTTGAAGTTTGATCAACTGCCATCTTCTCACTGTCATCCTGAGCTTCGGCCTCAGCTTCAGACTCAGACTCAGCATTATTTTTAGACTCAGTTTTAGCTTCAGCCTCGGCTTCAGCCCCAACTCCAGTCTCAGCTTCAGACTTGGCTTCAGCTTCAGTCGCAGCTTCAGCTTCAGTCTCAGCTTCAGCCTTAGCCTCAGCCTCAGTTTCTTTGTCAGTTTGATTTGCTTCGGCTTCTTTCTGATTTATTTCTTCTTTTTGCGTATCAGCAGATTCTTCCACGGGTTTTGATTGTTCTGACTGATCTGCTTCTGCTATTGCTTTATCTTCATCCAACTGCATCGTACTTTCAGCTGACGCCTCTACCGTCTCTTTACTTTCATCCATGCTTGTGGATGACATATCTTTTTCAGATGCAGTCGAGTTTTCTGGCTGCTCTCCAATATCATTACCAGACAGAATAGCCTCAACGTTCATTGATTCAGCAGATGGACTCCTTTCCAAGAGCGCAGCTTCATTTTCAGACGAATCAGCGATATCTCCTGTAATGGCCGCAATACCCTGATCAACATCCTCCACCATGTCTACCTGTGGGACGGAATCGGCCACTGGTTGCTGATCATCTTCTTGTTGTGCCGACGGGGGTTCTTCTTCTTCGACTGCTGCAACAGCTTCACTCTCATCTTCAGAGAAAATCATATCTCCTGGCCCATCTACCTGAGGGATAACGATGTTGCCTTCTCCATCGACTTGCATCGGTTCTCCAAGACCCGCATTCACTGTGGCACTGGCTGATGCTTCATTGCCATTGCAGCTCTCTTGGGATTTTCCATCTTGGCCGTCACCTGCATGCAATACCGAATTGTCCATCATAAAAGATAGTCCACCCGAAGATTCCTGCACAGGATCGATGAGACCAGCTTCGGCAGCGAGAGCTGCTAATGCTGCATCGGTAGTTGCAGGTCCATCAGATGTCATTGACAAAGTCGCAGAAGGTTTTTGGGGTGAAGACATAATCAACATTTTGCTCGCATCAATAGTTTCGGAAACATTGGCAGCCGTACTACCGACGATGGAGCTACCAGTAGGTACGAGAGTCACGGTTTTACCGCTACCTTGGACTTGCAACGTCACTGGTTTGCCAACACCTTCAGCATTTTTCTGTAACTGCGGCATGGCTATCAGCTGATTTTTGTGTATGATAGTTCCTGGTGTGCCAGCTTTAGCAATAGTCACAGTTTTGCCACCTTGACCAGGCATAGTTATTGTAATTGGCTTGCCAGCAGTGCCTCCGGTAAGAGAACTAGACACAACAATCATTTTGACACCTTGTTGGTTAGTCACATGGTTGGTGGCGGAAAGTGGCAACATATTGACAGGGTTGACGATATTGGCACCTTGTCCAGCGCCAGCTTGGCTCGTTGTCACGGCTTGAACAGTTCGAAGGGCAGAACCAGACGTCACGACAATGATTTGATTGGGGCGAGCGACGAGATTGCCACCATTACCACCAGGTTTCGTTATCATAATCTGTTTGCCTGTAGTGATTGTTTGGCCTTTACCCATAGTAACCAAATTCGACTTGATAAGCTTAGAGCCTGCGACGGCGTTGGGACTGACAAGTCGGAGAATCGTAGGTTGATTGCCAGACTTGCCTGAAGAAGTGGGAATTGTCTTGCCAGGAATGATACTCATTTTCGGCATGGCTACCATTTGACCGTGATTAGTCTTAACAAGATGTACTATCTGCGGTTGACCAGCAACGGTTTGTCCAGCCTTTTGAAGAATAATCTGTTTACCCTGTTGAGGCGAAGATGCTCTCAAGACAGTGGCAGTTGCAGAACCAGGAGACGTAAAACGAATGTGTTGACCTGGCTGAACGCCTTTCATTCTGATAGGGGCGGTCGTCGTTGTGCCTTGAATTGGCACCATTGGCACGTTATTAAGACTAATCTTGTGAGTCATAGCAGCTGCTGCGAGTGTAGCCAAACCAGCACCCTGTTGCTGTTGAGTAGCACTCGTAGTTGTGACGGTGGCTGTGCCTGCAGCAGAAACCGTTGTTGTGGTTGTAGTTGTAGTTGCAGATTGAATCAGTGTGGCGGTATTAGGCTGTTGGATGCGAATGATGTTGGTAGCTCGTGCCATCACAGGACTGCCTGATACCACTGGTTTTATCGGAGATGCAGCAATTGCAGTAGCAGCTGTGGCAGAAACAGGCGAGGCGATGATTTTTTGCGCAGCGCCCTGTATTCGAATCGGTGTAGGCGTCACACTTGAGGTCTGAGCAGCCACTGGTTTTATTGGTATCGATGACAAAGGTGCGGCAGCAAGAGCGGGAGTCACGCTTGTGGGTGCAGACGTTACGAGATTCGTGCCAGTCGTGGAACTTGGAAGAGCTGGTGTACCAGCAGAGGTCGCAGCATTTGTGAATGTGGAAGAAGGCGTCGTCGGAGTAGCGCTGCCACTGCTCGTTGACAAATCAAACTTCTGAATTTGAAGGATGTAGTATTGAGCAGATGGAGTAGGTTGCCAGCTGATTTCTAAGGACTGAGTGCCTGCTTTAATGAGCTGAACTCGAGATGGTGCAGGTGGCTTGCAGACTTCCAAATACCATAAGTCTTTGCAGCATACCTATGAACACAAAAGAAAAAAAACCCACGTACAGTGACAAAGTTCATCATGCATATAGAAATGATATAAAAACCCTGTCCTAACCTGGTTGTTCCATGCCTTGCGATAGCCATCTCGACCAGACCATACGTATAGCCGGCTATGAATACCAACAGCACAATGACCAGCTCGTGCTCTGGGAACATTTTCTTCTAGTGTGTCAACTTGCAATTGCTCCCAAACTAATTTTTCTGAAATTATGGAAATACACATTTTTTATTTTCTTTCAGCAAGATTTGTAATTAATTTAAAATGTTTATCCTTTTTTCTAGTTACCTAAATTCAGACAAGCTAGAGTACTTGTGCATTTCCACTCTTTTTCGTGAGTTGCGACCTTCATGTCGTCAACAACAAGAGGCACCCATCCTCCAAAGACATACATTTTGGGCCCAATCAGAGTAGCTGTATGCAAAGAACGAGGCAAAGGCGTGGGGCCATGTACAATTGGTTTGTTCCACGTCATGGTATCAACATCAAGGAACCACAAGTCACCCAAGCGACAACCACTCATACCGCCATAAATAACCAGACACGACTTTCCAGTAGTCTTGTCTGTATATGCTACACCAGTATGTGATTCTCTTGGCGGTGGCGCATGTCCATGAGTATCAGGGATATCCCACACGATATTACCATTGGGTAGAAGCTCCAGGGTGTACAAGTCGTTTAGGTAGCGCGGTATATTGTTTTTCGGATCGTCGCTATCGTTCGCAAGACCTCCAAACAAAAAGACTTTGTTGCCAATGAGTGTAAAACTGTGACCAAGTCGGGGGCAGGGTTCTGGACCATTCTTTGGCGGCTTGGGCTTTAATCTTTTCCATTCCCAGCGGCTGGCTTGAAGCTCGTAGAGCTCGTTTGAGTATTTTCCATACTCTACCATGCCTCCAAATACGAGAATTCGTGTTCCATCCACGACGAAGCCATATGCTGCACATCCTGGAGGTATATCTCCCTTCGTGGCTGGGACGAACCATTGATTCGTAGCTGAAAAACATGAAAACATTTGTCATCGGTTCTATTTCGACTTGAGCACGCTTGAATGATGGACAGGTTGGTCATTGGAGACAGCTGAGGAAAATAGAGAGAAAAAAAGCGATGGGAAAAAAAATGGAGCATCAAACATCAACAAAACGCAAACAGCTGGCAATGTTTGCAGCACTGCGGGGGAGCTTGGTCTGCTAGATACTTGTGCAGAATATACATACAATGAAAGAGCAAGCAAAATAAGGTCTTCATCGCGGTCGCAAGAGAGCGTCGTTCTCGCAAACAACTCGCACTCATCGAAGCTTGGACTTGGAGCAGAAAAGAAATAAACAAGCTTCTCTCTGGGCGTGCGCACGAAATCATGCTCGTGTATGTATATCGGTATATATACTCGTGTAAAAGTAGAGGACGAACACTTGTGCGCACAAGCAGAGAGCATGCACCGAGAGAGAAAACAGCAATGGCGGCTCCCACACGACGGCATCGCTGTTTGGCTCGCGCCAAAAGACCAACTATATAAAACCTAAGGAAACGACTATATGTAGCTGCTGACCTCCGGTCAATGAAAACAAGCTTTGTTGCAAGGGATGAGGTTGCGGTAGGGTATAGCTCTACAGTGAAAGAGCCTTGAAGGCCCCAGGGTTCAGGGAGGGTAAAAATGGCGCTGATGGAGTCCGGCCGGTTAGCGGGCCGTCGCTGTGAGTCGCCATATTGAAACGATGGAAGCGACGGCGCGCACATACATAGGATAACAGCGGCGCAAACACACAGAACAGCAGCAGCAGACCACCGCTCTACAATGCACGGTGCGGTGGCGGGAGATTCAGGTGGATCGAGGCACATACATGTATGTGCAATGCTGTTGCTGCTCTGTTATTGTTGTTGAGGTCTGTTTCATTGGGCCTTGGAATAATGGATAACAGAATACATATAGGTACCAAATGAGGCACGTAACTCACCTGTGTTATAGACGTGGAGTTCGTCGACGATACCTTCATTGCCGCCCCCGAAGACGACCATAAGGTCCTTGATTGCAACAGCCCGATGACCATGACGAGGCCTCGGCTGCGGGCCCGTCGGGTTTGTGATGCGTTTCCACTTGAGCATGGGTGCCGCCATGATGATGACGAGTTGTCAATCACATCATTTTCCTACTGCTACAGGGGGGGCTGCCTAACCTCCAAAGTGAACGGCTTCAGCTAAACTGCAGCTAAATAAGTACTCGCACAGACGCACGGAGCAGCACTTTATTTTCACCCGGCCACCAATTCGTCTGCTATTTTATCGCAGCTGTGTCACACACACATGCACAGTATGTGAGACGCATGCACTCCCCGTCGAAGGGCGTGCTGGGGATGAGCAAGGGCCCAAAAGATCGTGCGAAGGGTATATGAAGAGAGGGGAGACTCTATCGAGGAACCGGGTGCTTTCCGACTTTTTCCCTATCTACAGAGCCTCTCTTGCTTGTCGCACACGTCTTCTTGGTTGTCCAGGCGCTGGCAGCACAGCACACACAACGCGCCAGCGCAATTCAGTTCATCATAGGAATCGGTAAATGAAAAGCGGTAACTTATGATGGACGCGGAATAACAAGCGCGATGGAGCCACCTTTTTTTCACCCGTAGGTTGAAGGTAAATGAAAAAAAAAAAAAAAAAAAAAAAATTGCACACTGCACACAAACGTTTGGCCGGATGGACGGTTTTGCGTGTGCGCGACCGCGGGGAAAAGAGAAGAGAGGGAGAAGAGTGTATACGGCTGAGGATATTTATCTACAAACTCAACCTTACAGCAGAACCCGAATTTTGCATAAACAATAACACTGCTTACTATTTAATTCGTTGCTATTCATAAAAACCCTCGGGCATTTGAGTATATTAAATACTGCACAACGAAAGCTCGGCGGCAAAGTTCACCCCTAACCTTACAATAACGCGCAACTTCTACAAGTATGCCCCGCTGCACTGGCCCGACTGCGCTTGGTGTTTGACATTCACAGAGGCTTGCTCTCGCTTTCTCTCTACGCTATTGTACCGTTAATTGAGGTTAGGTTCTCTATCCTCGAACAAGTACTTATGGTGCTAAAAAACCCGTTTTAATTACAAAATCACTGGATAGCAGCACTGTTCTTGGAACTAAAGTCGCTGTTAACTTATTTTAACATCCTCAATGAGTTTTGGTATTCGTTCTTTCAGAATAATCTTATAATTGAGGTTAGAATGCGACGCTACAATAAACAAGAAACTGCTTGTTCTGCTGCGAAAGGACGCTAACGCGATACGAGTCGTATGTGTAACTGTGTTGGTATACGTAAAAGTTGCATTGGTATTTGGTGTATCTATAGCAATCTAGCGCAGACGCCGCACGCCGCAGTGACGAAATTTGCCAAATCGAGCACAAGAGGGCAGCGGCAGTCTCGCCGTGCGTATGGCGTATACCGTGGCCCGTGGCCTTTTTTACCATTAGGTTTCCACTGTTTAACTTGTAACAATAAATAAGCATTGTTAAAGAAAACGTTGTTTAATTGGTGTGTAACATTGCAACATCGATTTATACATATAAGTAGTAGGGTCTTATGAGGCTCAAACCTCAAGCTGCGAACAAAGTTTGTATTGGGAGAGCGTTTATGTAGAATATGCTTCCAAAATATATATAATTCTTGTATGTATACAACTGAATAAAATAGCGTAATGCGTTTTAAATACAAAAATTTTTTTATTTTTGTACCTGACATGATCAAATTTATGTCCAAATTTAACGATGGACATGATAACTCGACTGTCCTGCATAACGCTATTTATTATTTTTTATGAAGCGTATTTCATTTGTTTCACTATCTACATTATTTTACTTGATTTTATTTTATTGAATCAACGGGTCAATGGTCCAGTCACAAAATCGGTATAAGCAGCAAATATATTAGGACAGGCCAATTACAATTTACCTAATGACATATTGCAGAGTAAACTATGTATCATGAAATATATAATAACAAAACAAAGGTTGGCTCCACTAAAGTAAGAGCAATGAACCAATTATTTTTAATTCAAAATTGAAAAAAAAAAATGTTAACATGGCAAAAATTTATCTGCTCCCAAAAGATTCAAATTGTTCCACTTATACATTTTGTAATCCGTCCATTGTTGCCAACGTAGTACGTTGAACGTATCAACGAACGGATAGTAATAGTAGAATAGTACAGGCTGAGCGCATGCGTATAAAGTGAATTTTTTTGTTTTCCGATGTCATTAGAAAGAGAGGAAACGATCAAAACAGCTGCTCTGGTTGCAGAAAGCTGTACCCTGATCATTTGTGCGTCGTCTGTAACTTCACAGCGTTGTAAAAAGTGAGTGAAAACAAAAAATTACGTAACTGTTTTTCATTGTGTGCATTTTTTGATCAAGTATTGTGCCGTCAAAAAATCATTTATCACAAAAATAAAATATTTACAAACAAATCATTATCATAACAAGCACCTACTATCATAGATTTTCAATCAGAACGAATCAGTCAGTTCATCAGTGGTGCATTGGTTATGTGTCACATAAAATTTTCTCTCAACAATTGTTAACGTTTTAGAGGGTTCTAAGATGCATCTGCAATTCGGTAATTTGGCGAAGATCCGTGGGATTGTCTACTACAGGCTCAGTCCCCATGAGCTGAAACCCTTCGCCGGCATGATCAGCCACGGCTTTCCTAACCTGGTGCGCCGATTCAGGGAACAAGTGTTTAGAATCGCTCCTCGTAAGTTGTTTGTTTTATTTTCATGTGTTGAAATGTTTCGTTTAACGAATATTGTGATTACTGAAAATCACGTTTCAATTGCAGCTTTTGTTTTAACCTACATGCTTGTTGACTGGGCGGATAAGGAGAATGAAAGATTATCGAGGAAGAACCCCAAGGACTTTGAAAATGACCAGTGAACCCATAAATGATCAGTAAAATTCATAGCTGATAATTCGTAGTTTTTAATTCTTCATTGAAGGTTTTTTTTTTAACATAGCAATTTCAGTGATACTACAAGTACCATGAAAAATTGTTTATCTACCTATTGATTGCTGTAAAATAAATTATATGAGTGGAATTATAGTTATGCTGTACAGTTAATTTAAGAGTTTAAGATGAAATACATTCAATGATTTCGTTAAAGCTCTTTGGATTTTTATAGTTTCTCAACAATCATCAATCTACAACTCTAAACAGTTGTTCCTAGAATAGTTGACTATTATGAATAATTAATGACAGCTGTTCACAAACAAGTACATACTGGGAGAGCCCGTAAAAGGCTCGCTATATCAAAAAACATAGTTCTCATCCAACATAGTTTGCAAGTCAGCTGGTTGCAACATACCAACACTCCTGAATATAAAGCAAGCTTCGAGAAAAGTTCCTTTTCAAAAAGGAGTGGGTAAGTATTAGTCATACTTACAAAGCGACAAAGCTCCTCGATTTTCTTCGTTTATTGATGCAGGTTGTACTTACTTGGCAAATAAATAATACAAGCACGATCGCTTATTGACGCAGTAACCGGCCCAAGGGTCACGCGTATCGGTTTGAGGGTACGCCTAGGAAGGAACGAGAGGTGGGAGCAGCGCGCTCAGGTGCGAGAAGAGCAAAGAAGAAGAAAATAAAGAGGTGGTGGAGGGGTATTGCCCACATATAAGTATACACACATATTGTACAGGTTGTACAGTATACAGAGAGAGAGAGAGAGAGAGAAGGCGGCGGTGGGCAACAACGAGAGCCAGCAGCGAACGAACGACTCAAGCAACAGGTAGGTATGCGTGTGCACCTACGTGGACTGGTGCTCGGCATACCGATGCGTCGTCGCTTGTGCCGTTCGGTTCAAGAGAGGAGAGGGAATTTTATATTTCACGCCAGGCAAACTGCTGTTGCCGCTGCCGCTTTTGCTCCTGCTGTTGCTGTCGCTTAAGTAGTCGAATCGTTCCTCGAATCTGAATCACGCCGCGTCGGAACATACTCCGCCGTTTACTAGTGTGACAGCTAAAGCGATACCCAGTGTGTGTCTCGTCATTCGTCTTGTGTGCGACGATATCAGTCTCTATCTTTTTGATTTATTTTTTACCATTTCCAGGACACGGGCGTTCAAGAGTTTGTTTTGTGGCCCGTGTCCAGGTGCGTCGTTTAATAAGTATATAACACAATATATCGTACAGATCTACTCATGCTCGAGAGGCATGAGCGGTGCGACGATTACCCCGTGCGCTGTACTCGGCAGAAGCTAACGAGCTCGACGATTTGCTGGGCTCACTTGTAAATGCAGTTGGACGAGTGCAGGGTACTCCAAACAACTGCCCAGGATTATTTACGGTGAGTACATTTGGTGATGTACTTATTGCGACCACCTGCACATACGATATACATTTGTACAGCCGAACGGATTGCGAGGAGACCGGAGGAGAATTTTGCGGATAGCATGATTATAGCAGAATCGGCCTGCCTGTCTCTCTCTCTCTCTCTCTCTCTGGAATTCCATCTCTCGCGGCTGGCTATAGCTGGCCGACCAACTCTGCCTCTCTCGTCGCTCTACCTATCTCTTTCCGCGAGGAATCGAGGAATGTCGAAACCGCCGTTCCCTCGTACTCTTTCTCTCTCTTTCTTTTGCTTGACGCACAACACCAGGTAATACCCATTAGCTTACCATATACCTATCTACGCGTACACCACACTTGGCCGATACGCCTACGTACTGCGACCTGTGACAATGGTATAATAAGGTATGCGCGTTATACTCCGAAATGCACAAGGGGGTGTAATAATACGTAAAATACCGATCCCTCGATCCGTACGGATGGAAAAAAAAAAAACACGATCGGAATGCAAGAGGGAGGAGTGAAACAGACAGCGATTCGAGTACCGATCGGCACCGATCTCCTTTTTTTCCACGGCATCTGATCTACCGATCCCAGCTTTCACGAGGGGGTAAGGGCGGCTATACCCGGGCTGTACCTTACCCGCTGTATACATCTGTAGTCGGATAAATCACGCGTGAGTTACACATACGCGTGTACGCTCGCGAAGTAGATAATATTATGTTTGGAGCGTACAATATACATTTACATGACGTTTTGTACGTAGGTACGTGTTTTTGTGTGTGTGTGTGGGTACACATATATGCGCGGCGCGAAGGGAAGGGAAGAAGAGAGATCGGCTCTCGTTGTAAGCGTGCGAGTGAAATTCCAATTGCCAGAGACCACCGCTCGATGTATAACTGTTACAGCCGAAGAGTCCTTCCGTTACCGATCAAATACCTCATCCCCATCTCTCTCGGAGAGGCCCATCTGCATTGGCTCTATCTCTCATCTCCCGATGCTCTCACGTGGCACGCGCTATACATTCAACGACAATCGATAAATCGGCTTTTAATCGACTAACCGACATTGCGCTCGTAATCAATGACTCCGAAATTTAAAGCTAAAATAGCATGCATCATATGCGCGATCCGCGTGTTTTGTCGCCGATCTCGGAAGAAGTCAAAGAAGGGAGCAAATTTCTCTAATCGCTCGCCATGCGCACCCGTTCCTCTTTCAACTCGTTCAGAAGAAATCGGTACAGTAATTACACACGCTTGCGACAAGTCCGACAGATACATCGAGTATGCCGATGTTTTTTTTGTTTTTTTTTCCCCCAGCAAGCATCCGCGCTCTCTCGACATCTTCTGGCAAAATAGTTAACACCGGCATAAGAGAGAGAAAGAGCCTTATTTGCAGAGAGAGAGAGAGAGAGAGAGAGACAGTAGCGAAGAGAGAAACCTAGCTGTTTTGCCATTAAAAAACTTTCACTTCGGGGCTCGTCGTAATGACACCGGAGGAATGCCAAACCTATATGCAGGGACGCGCGCGTATACACAATCGTCAACGCATATCTACTTATTTTATCACATCGCACACATATATATGCATACATATTATATTTGTACCCCCATGTATATACCGATAACAATACATGTATACATTATTTTGTCAACCTCTTATTTATTTTTTACTCGCGTATGTTTAGGTATGCGTGCACTTTTTTTTTTTTTTTTTCATGCTGCACCACCTTATAAATGTATATGTAGGTAATGGAGAAAAAGAAAATCGGAAGCGATATCGTTCCTCTCTCTATATTTGTCGCGGGAGGAGTGCTAACTGCGCTCGCGTGCATACATATATGTGAGCCGTTGGAATAATAATATTATAAATATGTCAGTTAGTCGAATGTGTGTACGGGTTGGTGTATAGGTATATATACGGCGAGAGAGTCAAGAGGCCCCGCAACGTAATTACGTCACGTTGCATTCCGCACGGCCCAGAGAACAGGGACTCGTTTTCTTCGCGCGCGAAGCTTTTGCCACAGTGCAACTCGCTACCAAGTGAATACGTATGTACCTACGTGTGTGTGGGTACATATACGTGCTCTGTAATATATACAAGCTGCTCTCTCGGGGCCTTTAAGGCGTGTCCGCACCTCCTTGGGCCCCCCCCCCCTTTCATAAAAGTGTCGGTATGTGTGCAGAGATATACTCGTACATATATTATACGTACATACGTGTTAACGATCATTCCTCCGGCGGAGCCTAGTCCATACGTATTATATAGATTCCCCTGCTTCTCTCTATAATGTGAGGCCTACTTATTTTTTTCCTTTTTTTCCTTCTTCTCTTGGCCGATGTGCCGCAGGAAGAGTTTTAAGTATACAGAATACAAAAAAATCATACCTGCCGGTCTTGCAAGCTTCTCTTCGAAAAATCGGCAATGGGCCTCAATACGTTGCAGAGGCGCGCTTACACGCGTCCTTGAGATTGAATCACAGTGGCAGCAAAAAAAAAATATATATATATATATAAATAACGTCAGGTCTCCGCGTCGCTTATCGTACAATACAGTTGGACGCAATATCGTCGTCTATCATGTAATTGTGCAGTGAAATAGAAATGAAAAAAAAATACGCAAACGATATTGCGACATATTATGCATATGTTATCTAATTTGCGGGGAACTATAGAAGGCTGTATTACGTACATCATACTATATACGGATTGATTTTGATCAAATCGTAGATACACCCCCACACCATTATAGCAATATTGCCCAGCTGCAGATCCACAAATATAATATATGTATGTGCAGTTGCGCGACACATACGTATAGTAGGTACTCTCTAAATTAAAACCAGTGAAATTTCACTGGTTAATAGTGTAATTTTCACTACCCTCGTCAGTTAGGATCAGGTCACATGCAAATAGTAGTCAAATGATTTTAACTCTTGAAAGCAATGAAATTGTCACCACATCACCACGTATTGGTGGTGTATTTATAAATTGCTACAACAGTAATAACATCATATTTGAATCATTGCACTTTTATTATGAACTGAAATGCATCCTACATGAAACACACAGTGTATATCATAGACACATATTATATGGTACACGACATAATATAACGTAATATTTGCCTTATGAAAAAGTATTGACTAACTGCTGGCAATATTTGCAAATTATGAATAGATACACTCTGATAATTTTACCCTTTACTATATATACAAGCTAATATTAATAAAATCGTGTTTACTAACTGTGATCGACAAAACTTTATATGTGGCGGAATATTGATCTGACGACCATCACTACCATCAGCGCGAACACTGGGAGGATTCTCGGTCCGTGTATAGGATAGATACAGGTGGAAGGACAACTTCACTTTGTACACAGTGAAATAAATTTTCACTTCACGAAATAGTGAATTATTTGACTATTTCTTAGCGATTAGTGATTTGAAGAACGTCTCACTTAAGAAAAGTGGAATTCTCACTTAATTGAAAGTGAAAAAAAAACAACTTATATCTAAATAGTGAACATTTTTCACTTAGCTTCAAGTGAAACCGACATTCACTACCAAAATAGTGAACATTTTCACTGGTTTAAATGTAGAGAGTATATATTATATGCACGGTGCACTCAAAAATTTCTACAGAGAGTCGTGCCGTTTAACGACAATGACGCACGCTCTATTATTAAAAAAAAAAAAATGTTTGCATTCAACATCGGTAGCAGTATTTTACGCAACAGCGATGACTCGTATATACAACGTGATTATTTTACCACTCGAGAGAGAGGACACCAGATTGCGAGAGATAAGGGGTATTTGATTTATCATGAGTACACGTGTGTTGGCGAGAGGGCGAAAAACGAGAGGAGCCATTTCGAAAAATCTATATCAACGGAGCGAGATGACGGTGTCGAGAAGGTCCTTGCGCGAGCGCGCGCGACGAGGAATGCGCGAAAAAAAAGAACGCCAAGTTAAATTGTATGCCTATACCCTTTTCTTCCCGTATACGGGGCACACCGAGCTCTATCTTGCTTCTCCCATTGCCATGATTTTTTTGCTGCCGTTACTCATGCACCTGATGTACATGCATTCAATTCTCTCTCTCTCTCTCTCGACTATATTCCTTTGGCTCGCAGTCACATTACGTATACATGCGTTATGTCTCCTGTGTACAGTATACAGAAAGATACAGGTACCTGTACGCTACTTTTTCAATAACCCATGCTCGTGAATACATATATGTCATTGAACTTATACGGGAATTCTTATGGTAATGACGAAAAGCGACTAGAAAGTCTTAGGAAATGAAAAAAAAAAAAAAAAAAAAAAAAAAAACGAGCCTGATGTCCATGCGATGTAACTATGTACGTATGGAAACCAATATCAGAGTGATCGTCTGAGCGCCTCGTTTACATCTCTCTCGTATCGACACTCGTGAGTATTAAAAAAGAGCTCGTCTGTGAAAAGCCAGTCTTCGTCTCGAGGCGGTCGAGCAAACAACGCGCGTTCGCCCGGTTAAAAAATATTACCGATCCCCCCTTTGATGCGATTGTGCGCGAACAAGAGTGAAAATCCAAGAAAATCGGGTCGAGGTATTCCCGCGAGATTTGTCTTTTTCAAGTACACAACGAGCACGTGACAGTCGCATTTTACTTCTCCGATATAACCAAGTATACGAGAGCTGATAATTAATAAAAAAAAAAAAAAAATCGGCTTCTTAGCCACGCGAGTGCGACGAGACAGTCTGTGAGAGAACAAAAAAGTGTGTCTATATGTGTTCATTACTTTTATTGTTATTGTCCTTAGCCTGTTGATCGGTTTGACAATTTCATTCATTGGTTCTTCGAGCAATCATTGGTAATTATTGTTATTATCATTGTAATGAAATACCTATACATGCGTATGTTGTACCTTGGGAAGGCGAGATCTCGCAAGAGGCTGTACTTTTCAAAACAGCATCTCTTGAGTTGTTGAAATGCAAATCGAGGATGAAGTAACGGAGGGATTGCTAAAAAATCCATATATATATATATGCACCTAGCGACAAACCCACATGTGCTACGATACTCCCAAAGTGTGGTGCACGCGGCACATTGTAGTTTTTTATTTTTTTTGTTGATTGACGAAATTCTTATCCATTATAGATCGAGGCGGTTTCATGTGAAACAAATAAACAGTTAACGAGTTTGAAACGGTAAACAACATAGATACCACAAGCCGTGCATTAAGATTATAGGCACAAAAAAAAAAAAAGGTAATTGTGCAGCGTGACAAAATTAAGTTACATTCCTCATCGAGTGGAAAAAAACAAATCGCTTTGCGCACGTACATTAGAACTAGAAAAAAAAATGTGTGGTTACTTTTATTTTCCTAATCTTATCGATACCAATAATCTACAAAAGAAAATTGTCAGGGACACGCGCTCGGACGCTTTCCATTATCTTTTTTACACCGAAAGGGTGTACGGATAGTATATACATCGATGGCTCTTTTTTTTTGTTTCTTCAATCCACGACGCGGACGGTTTCACGTTCACGAAAACCCACAGCACTGCAACAATAAATGTGTGTCACGCGTAATCGTGTATATATATATACACGTATCGATATGTTAAACAAAGCAATATATATATGTATGTATATAATATCAGTCATTGTTCGAGAGTCATTGGACACAACACATAATGTATCTCCGACATACGCGCGAGCTAATGTATATAAATACATATAAGTACTGTTTCGAAGAAAAAAAAAAAAAAAAAAAAAAAAAAAAAAAAAAAAAAAAAAAAAAAAAAATTAACAATAAACGTAAACGAGCAGAAAGCGGCCCAGGCGGCACGTCCAGCACCCCGAGCGGGCGTAGCAGTTCGGGCGGTGGTGGCGGCAGCGGTGGCGTCGTCAGCTCGGCCGAGTCGACGTACCTAATAGAACACCTGGCGACCTTCACGGTGACCAAGGACACGGGCATTGTCTACCCGGCGGACGGCATGAGGCGACTGCTCCAGCTGGAAAAGAGCAACGGCATCTGGAGCCAAAAAATGCAGATGCGGCTCGAACGAAATTGGGTCCTCATCATGGACAATGAGACCGGGGTAAGTAATATCATTTTTTTTCCCTTCTCTCTCTCTCTACGAACGAATTGGATAGGGTTTGGTCGGAGGCCTTGTTTTTTTTTTTTTCCCCCTTCCTCTAATGAATGCGCATTATAACGGGACGGAAAATTCAGAGTTAGACGGCCGGTCGCTCGCTCGTCACATGTAGATTACCTCTCGCATATCGGTCAACCGTATAAGTACCTACTTTGAGAACGCGTCCGAAGAATTCGTTGAATCGGCCTGTCTGTTACCTTTTTTTTTTTTTTTTTTCCCCCCCCTCGATTGTAAACTGTTTTCGCGCACAGATAATGACTTTGTATATGATATATGTGGAATAATGCACGAGAGAGGAAAATCATGAACGCGCGTAATGGTATCTTCCGTCTCGTTAAAAATGATTGTTATTAGTATTACCTGATGCAAAAGAGAATCGCGCAACGCTCTCGATTGAGATATTTATTTACAATATATTATTATTATATACGTATAATGTTGTTTTTTACCGCGTGTATATTCATGTAACAATATGGTGTTTTTTTCCTGTATGATGAGCATATTGCGTTGTGCATAGGCGGTGATGGAGAGATTCCCAGCGGCGCTGATCCAAGAACCCACGGCCTTCACGTCCCGCGACCCGATGGAGATGTACAACAACATCCTGGTGTTCACGGTCGTCGACGACAGCAGCGCTAACAACCAGCGCGCCGAGATGCATATCTTCCAGTGCCAAAGTGTATCCTCGGAGTGCCTCGTCGAGGAGCTCAAGATGCTGCAGGCCGGCAAACTCGTGACCGGCGGCTCGCCCCGTACCTCCCGCTCCCACATCCCACCGCCCCCTGCGCTACCGCCCCCCGAACCGCCCCTCAACGGAGTCAACGCCAACAGTTAGTCTCCTTCTCTCTCTCTCTCTTTCAAATACGTATACATGTATAAATGTCCAATTGACACCGGTTGTAAATGCATACGCGTGTGTTCGTTGCCGCGTAGATGACGGGCACCACCATCACCATCACCACGAGGACACGTCGCGGGAGGAGAACAACGACGAGGTGTCGTCGACCTCGTCGGACAAGTACGAGCGGGACGTGACGATCCTGAACCACTGCTTCGACGACATCGAGAAGTTCATAGCTCGGCTGCAGCACGCGGCCGCGGCGTCCCGGGAACTCGAGCGCCGTAGGCGCAACCGCAAGTCGAAGAAGCGCAATCTCGGCGACGGTATGCTCACCATGAGGGCCAAGCCGCCCCCGGAGCTCGAGTTCGTCGACATATTCCAAAAGTTCAAGCTGTCGTTCAACCTGTTGGCCAAACTCAAGGCCCACATCCACGACCCGAACGCCCCGGAGCTCGTGCACTTTCTCTTTACCCCGCTCGCCTTGATCGTCGACGCCTCGCACGACACCAACTACGACCAGAACCTGCCGAGTAAGGTGGTGTCGCCCCTGCTGACCCGCGAGGCCGTCAACCTTTTGATGAATTGCGTGACGAGCAAGGAGACCGAGTTGTGGCACTCGCTGGGTGACACGTGGCTCGTGCCTCGGGAACAATGGAAGGGCCACGAGCCCCCGTACCACCCGGTATTCATGGACGGCTGGTCGCCGGACTGCCCGATGCCGGACGAGAGAGATCACAACGACCATCTGGCCTCCCTCCTCAACGCCGACAAGCGCAAGAGGGACGACATACCCGACCACCAGAACGACCCTTACTACGGCCACAGGTGACGATGACACGCGTCCCTTTCTTTCTTTTCAACAACAACAAATAACAATAGTATGTTGTCAATGTACGTGTGTTTGTGTGTGTGTGTTCATCAGGGAGGCGGAGGAGTCACACTACAGCAGCGACTACCTGGATTACGAGAGCCGCGAGGACCGGGCGAACCAGGAGTACTTTGATCGAGGCTACGATCGGGGCTCGGAGCTTTACGGCCGCGAGGAACAACGTGAGCGTGAGCGGGACCACCGTGAGCGTGAGCGATTGGAACAAGCGCGTGCTCACAGTGACATATCCGTAGATTCGATCGAACGGAGCGGCCGGCCGGCCGGGGGTGGCGGTGCAAGCGTCGGTGGAGGAGGAGGAGGTGGCGGGGTCATGCCAGGCGAAAGGGCTCAGGAGGCCTGGATGGACGAGCTCGTGGCACGGCGGGCAAAAATCGTCCAGGTGACCTATCCACGCACCGCTAACAACGACAAGGAGCTGACTGTCGTTAGGGGCGAGTACCTCGAGGTCCTCGACGACACTCGCAAGTGGTGGAAGGCTAGGAATTCGCGCGGCCAGGTCGCCCACGTGCCCCACACTATTGTCACGACCCACAACCCGTCCGCCTCGCCCGACAACGACAACTTCAACAATCCCCTCTACGCGGGTAGATATCAGAGGCAATCCCACGGCTACAATTACGAGGTGAGCGTATAACTGATATTATATTACCTATACCTGTATGCACCCGTGCGTTTTTTTTTGTTTTTTTTTGTTTTTCATACAATTCTTCGTATGGTTTTGGTATGATCGTAGGATTCGGAAATCGATGGTGCCAATACTAGTCCTGGATCGGAAATGAATCACCGAACCCACACTATTCCACCGCCAGCCCCCGCGGATTGGGTACGCAAGGAACGACTCGGCAAGAAAGGTGAATTCAGATACTTTTAAGGCCGCGTGTGTTACACCGGCTTTAGTAACGCGTCATTCAATTTTCATTTTTTATCCTCGTATGCGAATTTTCTTTTTTTTTTTTTTTTTTTTTTTTTTTTTTTTTTTTTTTTTTTTTTTTTTTTTTTTTTNAAGGGTAGGTTCGTATTGTTCAAACTTTCCTAAAAACAGAATTTTCAGAGCAGTGCCAAGACCTTGAACTTGAAGTTTTCCCCACAGCTTACATTTGTCACAACCGACACAATCCATTATTCGAGATATATTTCTAAAGTGACTTTTAAATTCCTCTTTCAATACTTGAGCTTCTACACCGCCATTAAACATAACGCTTTCATTGAAGTGTTCGGGAAATGTTCTGCAATCAAAAATTGAGTTGTACAAAATTCAAAATAATGCAAATACACTATCCAATAAATGATTACTTACTGTATAACATTTAAAATATCATTAACTGCTAGTCGAGTATCTTTATCTTCATTTGCATTCCCAGTGTAATATGCTTCTCTTTGCAAATACGGAGCTGCCTTAGCTAGTGCTCTTAATTCTAACATGTATATAAAATAAAGGTTTTTCAACCAATTTGGACCTTCTCCACCGGTTGTTTCCGGTGAAAAACGTCTTTGGAATTCTTCTAAATTAGGTCCCCATTGTCCTTCAGAAGATATTTCCAACTGATTACTAGATAACAAGTACTTAGCCGATAAATGTATATTTATACTAGTGTGAAGTCCAGAAATTACTCTATAAAACACTCTCTTTTCTAAACACATGGCTGGAAATAAATAAATAATTATAATTTTCAATTTTAAATGTAAATTTTTTACTTTTTATTAAATCGTTTCATACCATTCATTTTAGAGGTTTGTATGAAATTATGCGGCGAATTTTCGGGTCTGCAAAAATATGTTTAACATTACTTTTTGAGCAAATAGCTGGGAAAAAAAAGTTTATTATGAAGCAAATGTGATTCTCACCTAAAACAGTTCTCCATATAAATACTACGCCAAATTCGATGAGCACTGGAACCTCTGTAGCCAGTATATCTTTCTGGATTCAACAGTAAATTAACATATTCCCCTGCATCAGTCTCTTTTATACAAAAACTATCCTGTGCATCATCATGTTTCTGCCATCTCTGGAATCCCTTATAGTTTTCTGAACTAGAGTGAAATAGAATTCATTTAATAAACCTTGCATGATTGTTAATAGAGATAAAACGAATAAAAGTATCTATTACTGACCTTATAGTGGTATTTAAAAATCCTAATTCTATGTTATGATCACGTATCTTGTGATCACAATCTATGTTTTAAGTTAAAAAAATAAAAACAATGTACTTATCTAAAAATATATTATGTAATATTTGCATGTGAATGTGTTTTGTGTCACTGCCTCTTGACATCGTTCGATTCTCCTTTTCATCCATCATAACTAAGGCTTTCCATTTTTCATTCGAAAATCCATGCTAATATTGAAGAAAATCAAGTTTAACATCAATCTTGTAAAGCTTTTATTGTGATTCGTATTTTTTTTCAAAATAAAATCATGCTCTCATACAACAAATGAACTGTCAAAGCTTTTGTTTGCTTTCGGTGCTCTCTGCCTTTTAAAACTTGAGGAAATTATTTTTTTATAAAATTTAACATTACCAGGTGATAATTCCGATTCTGATAAAAACAGCACTAATGATGTTGCAAGTACAATTTTATTGAACCAATCTATACCGCCGACTCCACCTCCGCTACCAGTGTTACCATTACCGCATGTATCCACACATAAAAAAAGGCCCCCGTTGTCCATGATTACGACAACCACAGCGGAAGTGCATAAATCCGAGGAACCGATAATACCAAAAAAAGGTTCGTTTTGATACCATTGGTCGTTCTAACAAAAATTTGACAAATTCATAAAATTATCAAGTATTTTGATGCAGAGAGGAATCAACGAGAGCAAGTACACGAGGAGCTCAAATCCGTTTTAACGAGAATTCGTGAGAGAAAAAAAAACCTTGACGTAGGAACGAATAATAACAACAACACCAACGGCAAGAACAACGTTGCATGTTATGCGTTTCAAACATGGAATGATAAGAGAATGAACAGGAGGTATGAAAATAAAAAGTTATCAATACTTTATTATAGGTGTATTAATTTTCAAATAAATCTTTTTTACATTGGGTACTTAATTGGAAAAAGAATTTCAATTTCCTCGTAATTTAGTTAAAAGACATTAAGTCAATGTAAATAAAACTAATAATGGACAACTGAACGTAATATATTAGAATTTGTAACGATAAAAAATATTAATTATTATTGCTTATTCATTTACAACTACTTTTTCTCCATTTTTTTTCCAGTACAAATAAATAGTTGATATACGCACATCCACGTTGTAACAAGCTACTTTCTTTACAATCACATCGAATTGACTCTTGACTGCTGCTATTACAAAAATTTATTGTGATCATACACAAAAATTTATATTTTTTGTACGATTTGTAAATTAAAATATAAAATAAAATAACAAAGTTTGTCTAAATCCCGAAAGTTTCCTTTTGTATATTTCAAATAAAGAATAAAAAACAATTGTAACTTTCGCATGAATTATGTTTCATTGAGATTGAATATCATTTATCACAGATATGGTCGGTTTTTACAGAGAAGTCGTCATTAAAAGAAGACATGTATAAAATAATGGAAGAGTATGAATGAGACATAAAAGGATTTTTCTTTAAAATTTCACGCTAAATATCAGAGTTCAAAACAAAAACTTCACAGAGGTGTAAAAATATGGTGGATGTAAAGCTTATCAGCGTGACGTATGCAAAATTAGTACTAAAATCTTCTCTTTTTATTTTACACTATCTCATCATTTTTCGAAATTCCTCCAATTCAAATATGCTTTCTGATAACCTGTAACAAGAAAATATTATGTAAAGTGATTAGTAGGCAAACATGATCATTTCCCTTAGTTAAAATATTTTATTTGAATTACCTGCCAAAAGCATTGACAAGTGACACAATTTCACTTCTGTCTAAGAAAAATTGTTTTTTACTGAAATCTATAAGGGTAGGTTCGTATTGTTCAAACTTTCCTAAAAACAGAATTTTCAGAGCAGTGCCAAGACCTTGAACTTGAAGTTTTCCCCACAGCTTACATTTGTCACAACCGACACAATCCATTATTCGAGATATATTTCTAAAGTGACTTTTAAATTCCTCTTTCAATACTTGAGCTTCTACACCGCCATTAAACATAACGCTTTCATTGAAGTGTTCGGGAAATGTTCTGCAATCAAAAATTGAGTTGTACAAAATTCAAAATAATGCAAATACACTATCCAATAAATGATTACTTACTGTATAACATTTAAAATATCATTAACTGCTAGTCGAGTATCTTTATCTTCATTTGCATTCCCAGTGTAATATGCTTCTCTTTGCAAATACGGAGCTGCCTTAGCTAGTGCTCTTAATTCTAACATGTATATAAAATAAAGGTTTTTCAACCAATTTGGACCTTCTCCACCGGTTGTTTCCGGTGAAAAACGTCTTTGGAATTCTTCTAAATTAGGTCCCCATTGTCCTTCAGAAGATATTTCCAACTGATTACTAGATAACAAGTACTTAGCCGATAAATGTATATTTATACTAGTGTGAAGTCCAGAAATTACTCTATAAAACACTCTCTTTTCTAAACACATGGCTGGAAATAAATAAATAATTATAATTTTCAATTTTAAATGTAAATTTTTTACTTTTTATTAAATCGTTTCATACCATTCATTTTAGAGGTTTGTATGAAATTATGCGGCGAATTTTCGGGTCTGCAAAAATATGTTTAACATTACTTTTTGAGCAAATAGCTGGGAAAAAAAAGTTTATTATGAAGCAAATGTGATTCTCACCTAAAACAGTTCTCCATATAAATACTACGCCAAATTCGATGAGCACTGGAACCTCTGTAGCCAGTATATCTTTCTGGATTCAACAGTAAATTAACATATTCCCCTGCATCAGTCTCTTTTATACAAAAACTATCCTGTGCATCATCATGTTTCTGCCATCTCTGGAATCCCTTATAGTTTTCTGAACTAGAGTGAAATAGAATTCATTTAATAAACCTTGCATGATTGTTAATAGAGATAAAACGAATAAAAGTATCTATTACTGACCTTATAGTGGTATTTAAAAATCCTAATTCTATGTTATGATCACGTATCTTGTGATCACAATCAGTTACTTGCAAATTAAGTTTATATTTTTCGGCTGGACTTTCGTCAGCGTGATTGTTTCTCGAAAATTCGCCTTTCAATCCAACTGGAATGTCTTTCTAAAAATTTGATAATTACATAGGGCTATGAAACATATGGTCACTGAAGCATGATTAAATCAAATATTAAAAACCATTATGTTCAGCTTACATCTTCGCAAGGTTTAATGTGGCAGTATCGAATAGCACACTTGCTGTCATCTGCCCAGAAAGGACAGTCTCTCTTTAGATTGACTTTGTAGAATCTAAAATAATCTCTGACTAGAAGACTCTGCAGTCTGGGATAGATTTTAACGTTGTTGAAGTAATCTACCGTGTCCACGGTACAACTACAGTCATCGATGGTACCATTTAGCTGCAAAACACACAGAAACATGAGTATGTTTATGCTGTACACTCATTGAATAAGTATTTATTAATTTAAAAATTCAGCAGGCACTAAACTAAGCAATGACAGAAGAAAAGGGCATAAGCATACAACATTATCGAGTGCTTGTCCTAAAAAACGAAATGTAAATATTTCGAGACCAATAAATAATCGTAACGTCAAGCAGATTCGTAAATATTTAAATGGCTTATTAGTTGGTGGGCGTCAATAACGAACTGTCACAACACAATATATATACGTATGTAAAGTTCGTGGGTTATGTTATTCGCTTGTCAAAACAAATAACAAACGCAAGCATATGGAACGAAAAGAAAACAACAACAAAGCGTGTACGTGTAAGTAGGTATTACCTTGCAAAAGCATTGATCGTTTATATGTCGGTGATTGGTCCCATAATAATTGCCGCCCGTTAATTCGCTGCACAACGCGAGCAGCACAAGTAAAACAGCAGCAACGGAAGATACCGCACCTCGTCTCCTCGACATCATCATCATCATCATCATCGGGGTAATCATTTCGAGTCTGGCCATAATAATATGAGCGTCTCGCAACCTCGTCTCCAAGCAGTCTTCACCACCATTAGTTAGGTTGAACCACTCGCAACAGCAGTCAACGTGTTAACATGCTATTGCGCCCCAGCTGTTCAACTAATTACTTAGTTTATTCCTCTGATTTCTGGCTCGGTCTGATGCCTGTGAAGGCGCACAGTGTGCCATCATGCCAAGATCAAACGTGAAGGACGAAGGAAGATAAAACACGTTTATTTATACTCAAGATATATTGTGCAGTCACTTTCTCCGCCAAATGAATTAGCTGAATTGACTTGAGTCCCCAATTAGCATCTGCAGCGTGTCTTGAGAGATGTTCACCGGTACACGTTTACTTATATAGTTACAGTTATACCTATGTTACAATAGGATACCTGCGTCAACGCACGTACACCCACTACCTACTATCACTCGTTTGGATTAAAGTACACGTCGCTGCTAACTTTCTTTTGATGCTAAGTAGGTACATACGTGTCTATATCACTGACGTGGCTCTGAAAATGTTTTTATCATTTTTCGCGTTATAAGGTATACCTATGTTAAACTTAGATAGTGCACTTGTAACTGTGTAAACTTACTCATGAACATGCTTATAATCATAATATGTACCAACGAATATAGACTCTTCGTTGGACTTATAAGGATTTTTCCACCCACACGTTATATAAAACATTTAGATTAGGACACTGTTATGTTGGCGGACCAAGGCATATAAATGTACATAATGTATACTCACAATTTTTCTAAACGTGTTACACAGCTGGAACAAAGTTTTTTTCCTCAATTATATCATAAAATAATCGAGTTTTCCGTTTTCACTCCGTAAAGCAAGCCGATCGAATGGTCCTTTTTTTTTAGCGCAGAGCCAAAATAGTACTCTTTGCCTTTCGTCCTCGTGGTTAAATGGAGTTACAAACAGCTGAAAATTTTATTAAAACTTTTTTATCGAGAATGCAATAATACATGTGTGTACGTAATTTTAGAGCGTCACATTATTTAAGTACAATATAAATAATTGAAAAACAAGCCTATCGCAGTTTGCACTTGAGTTATTTTCGGTCGGATGAATTACTATTTTGTATACACTTGCAGAAACGAAATAATGTTATTTATTTCCTTGAATTATGCCCACGTAATAGTTTTTTGGCTGTACATACCAGAAAAGCGCAATTAACAACTCGTACTGCGTGTATTCTAAAAATATTTCAGTAAAACAATAGATAGTACATACCACGTGCGAAAATCCGTTGGTCACGCGACAAACCAAGTAAAAAAAGTTTAAAATGTTTATGTATAGAATACCATCGTGCTTACACATTGCGCTTGTAATTCGATCTTTTTATCGCGTTTTAACAGCGAAGTAAGGACTATACGCGTTAAAACCTACACATCACGTAAAAAATTAAAAATGCAATTACAATGAGCATTCGCTTTGGATATTATTTTAACACTACTTACTTTGTTGAATTTTTTACTTGACAAGTTTTAGCGCGTGCAGTCATAATTGTTACGCTATAACAACAAAAGCTAAAAAAATCAATGGAATATCGAATTATGATCACAACAGTATGGTTCACATTTTTTGTTTTTTTTTTTTGTTTAAAGCTTTTTAATGAATTTTCAGTTTTATTATCTTAGATTTATCGCTTTGGATATACAAAGTACACGTATTAGTTTTGCGAAAACGTACAATGTTTTTAAAACACCTTTGTGAATTTCACGTCTATTTATCCTGAAGAAGCTTTAACACAAAATGACAGTAAGACTTTTTAAATTCATCCACTTCGATGTATTTTAAAAACTTTTAGACACATTTACGGAGATAAGGATTACGATTTTCCTTTACGATTCAGCGTACGTGAACACAAGTGTATTTATTTATAATTACGTAAATTTAAATTTGTGTGTACAATTTTAGACGATAAAGATTTTTTTTTTCACGTTTTAGCTCCTATCTCCTTCCATGGATTTTGATGCACGCGCGTATCTCATACACATATGTACATGTATATAAATTATGTAAAACATGAAAAACTTTAGTTCGCAAACAAAATTACAATCACAAAAAAAAAAACAATCTTATTTTACACAACTATAATGTACTATGTAATAATTTTATTCGCTGGCTTGAAAACTATAAAAAAAGAAAAAACTAAAAACATTCACCAAAGGTATTATTTCTTCGAAATCATAACAGTATTTAAAAATTCACCTGCTTGAAAAAGATTTTTAAGCAAATAGTTAACGAATCAAAATAAACGATATTAGTTAAAAAATAAACAAAATTTGGATGACTTATCGAATTGTTGAAAAACTGTTATTTTTACATTCGTGCCAAAAGAGGCCATTTCTCTTTCATTACAATGGATTCCTTAGAACAAAATGTGAAATACCAATCACCAATAACGCCCATGGATTTGTTAGAAAATGTTATTAGGATACAGCACTTAATATATAAATATATATACTCACGCAACAGAGCTTCGATGTCATCAAACGTGACATTAAACGAATCCCAAAAAAAGCTCATCTATAGCGAAGACAGCTGGGCCATTATTTCAGTTTCGCCATCACTTGAAACTATGGCTTTTAAAGGAATCGTCATTACCTATTATTTCAACATATCTGTGCGCAAGAAAATAACAATAAGAATGTCTGGAGTATAAACTCAACGTCCGACAGAAAATAACTACAGAAAAAAAAAAAAAAAAAAGTTATGCACTTGTTAATTAAGTGTATACTTCTATCACGTGTCTACCTGTTATCGCTCCCTACATTACTGATAAATTTTCCGAGTTATCAGGGCAGAAGGGGCCACTACCGGAAACGCTTTAGCTTAGGAATTTTCTTTATATTTCGTAAAAATCGTATTTAAAGTATCTTCAATTATTTATCGAAACAATGACGAAGTTCATTACAAAAAAAGGACCTCAAGAGGATGTAAAGAATTTTGAAATGCTTCTGATTGCAAATATATAGAAATATATTTTTTTGTACAAAAAATATGATCAGTTGTCGTGCTCTTCGTAGTTTTCTTTGCAATCAATTAGATTATGAACGCTTTCTTGAAACTCATCCTGCTCCAACCCTGATATTTCAAAGGCATGGAATTTCCGTAGGCTTCCGACTTTTTTGGTTTCTTTGATAAGAGCCTCGTACATGTCTGCAATGAACCTACCAGAGTGCAAGCCAGCCATAATTGCCACACTTTTGACATCTGAAACCAAGAGTGAATTTTCTACTTATTTATTTCGACTCACCATCTTTTACCAGCAAACCATGAGTTCGAAAAAGATGTTAAACATTCTCAAATCAATAGATAATAATCATTTACCTCCATCACGCAATTTAGATGTAATATTTCCATCTGTCGACACGTTACTGTTGAATATTTTCGGGAACGGATCTTTAACTAGTAGTCCTCTTTCAACTGTTGTCAGATGTGATGCTGAAGCATAACACGCACCATCCAGGTAAAGACTCATCATTTCGTGAACAGACGAATATCTGTATGCTAGTTTCTCCATTTGATCTTTTGCATCTTCCATTGGTCGTTTCAATCTATTCTCTGGAATACCTCTCAGAGCTACACTTTGAGAGACATACTCGTTACCTATTTCGCAATTGGGAGTCAGACTTGTCCATGGGACACTATCATCAAGATCTTCCAACATGTCAATTAAATCTTGGTTTTCTGCAATAGGAAATGGCAAACTTAAACTAGTAGCTGCTACTTTTCTGCCTAGTTTGTTCAAATCGACACACAGATCGGACAAAGTGGACATGGGATATTTCTTATGTCTGTAGCGCAAAGTGAGTGTATCCAAGGCACTTGCGAGCAAAGAGCTTGAATGGTATTTGAGATCAGATTGATAATTTAGATTATCGAATATCCTTGCTCTGCCTGGAGTAAGCCAAGCAGTTGAACTACAACACAATGGACTAAACAGAGACGAATGTTCCCCAAACTGTTCCCAGCTCAGCACTGTGTTGACTATTCTTGCTCTATCTTCCAGCGACGGTTTTCTTTGTTCCGAGTCTATCACTGGAATAGTCAGTATACTTTTTCCATACTCGTCTCTTAAATGTTGAATGCAAGATGCCCCCAATCCTGCGAATCCGTTATCTGCATCTACAAGAACCTAAATAGAAATATTAATGAAGAACATATATCTTTGTTCAACAGCTTATTTTATTGTTGACCACTGTACCTGGAAACCTTGCATGAAGTCGCACTCTTCGACATAAAGTCTTATTTTATCAGTAAAGTCTTCTGAAAATTTTTCAGTTTTCCACAAACTTTGTCCCAGGGGAAATACATTGAATGGTTGTGTGGTGGAACAATGCTCATGGTCTGTGATAATATTAACAGTTCTAGGATGAAAACGAGGAACCAAGTAATCTGTCCAAGTTTTTGTTTCTTTTTCGAGGTCATAGGTGATTTTTTCTGCCAGATTATTCGTCTGTTCAAGACTTTGCACAAAAGGGGATTTTTTAGATGGAGGTTGTACTGTACTTTCTAGCTTATCTTCGTGCCACAGTATTTCTGGCTGTTCTTTCTTGTCATCTGGTAAAATTTCTTCAAGATTACCTTCTTCACTCAAGTATCCAAATGTACCTTTTAAATCTGCTAATAGCAATCTTGGCGTGTATGTAACTTTCTAAAACAAGTAATTGTTGTATGGATACAAAACATAAGAAATTGCAACTTACAAAATGCATATTAAATAACAACCTTTCTAAGTTCTCCTTGTCTGTATAGAACATCGGGATTGATTTCTGATGGATTTTCAGGGTCATATGAAAAATTGTTTTCCTACAAATAAAAGTTTTTATTCAAATCAAAATGATTGGTTGATTGTATTAAAAAAAAAAAAAAAATGTATATGAGATTTTTTCTGAAAAAGTATTCTGATTTTAAATGTATTTACCTGAATATTCCACCAATGTGTTCCAACAAAATTAGCATAATGCCCTAGTTGAATTGTCAATATTTCTCTGGTGGACATTTTTAAAAAATTAAAGATGGCTTTTTTGTTTTAACCTATACCAAGATGAAAATATTTCAATAAAACATAAAATTATAATTTTAAAATCAAAGTTTAATCGAATAATTCGACGTTTAAACAATAACGTTAAATAAAAAAACAATTTAGCACTACTGAAATGACATGAAACCGCGCAACAAAAACACACGTTGTGACACATATAGGTGTGATATTGAATGTGTGAGTGTCAAGTCACTTGTCCAACACCACCAATCACTATCCTGAATAATCTTTGCGCAAAATTTAAATTTGAAAGCTTAAATTAACCATGGAAAAGAGAGGGATAGAAATGAAGGTTTTGTGTACTGATATCAAAATAATTACTATTTATTGAACACACAAGGTATACCAAGTGTATAAAGCTTAGATTACTAGAGGTGAAAAAATATGACATTTGGACCGATAAACAGTACAATTTTATCACTTTTTCTTATAAAATAACTTAGTATCAATGTCTGTGAATATGTATTTTATCATATAAATACTGATTTAACGTTATTTTTATTTTACAACACAAGTATCCAAATGTTCATTCATCAACGACTCCTTGACCAACTTTGAACAAACAGGACAAGGATATTGATCCAAAACTTCCGGCTTATCAGTCTTTGAAGTTTCTAATTCAATCACGTCATCATCATCCTTATCGTCAAACACAGAAGCAACACATTCTTCCAAATGATCATTCAGAGTCTCATTTGGCTTTAACTTCTTATTACAGATCAAACATAAGTGTGGAGAGTCATGTAAATTAACTGAGCTGGAGTTGCACTCATCAAGTAAAATAACATCGTCGTTTCCTGTTTTGTTTTCTGACTTATTGTGTAGACAAAGGTCCAAGTGATCATTAAATTTGTCAGCAACAATTTTTTTATCACACAGTGGACATGTCACTTCGTTAGAGTCTGAATTACTTTTGGATTTTTTACTAGGTATACAATAATCGTTTTCGCTTTTTCTTTTGTTTCCCGAGGTACTTGGGACAGCAATTGGTTCATTAGAAACATTTAAGGAGGTACTCGGGATGGCCTTTGAGTTGATTGAAACATTTAGTAAACACATATCTAAATGGTCGTTAATTGTTGCCTGATCTACAAATTTACTACAATTTGGACAACTAACTGTAGTGGTTGCTGCATCATTTTGAGGATGACTTTCTTCGTTTGAACTATTCAATATAATTGGTAAACTAGTTTTAGTAGTTGAAGGCTTATTTGGAGGAGCTTTACTGGTAGTTTTAACTTGAATATTGTTTGAAAATTTATCCAGCAAAATACTTTTTCCTGTACCTGAACCCCCTAACACACCAGAAAATGAAAAGCGCGGCTTTTCATTGCTACTTGGTTTTGGTGGCTGATTTTCACCAGAATTTCGATCTTTATCGCTATTTTTTTCCAACCAACTAAGCACACCATTTTTTTCAGGAGGTTTCATAATGTTGACACTGTTATTACCAGGTATTTTTTTGGTTTTCTCAAGTTTCTCCGGCTCTTTTATTTTTGTGTACTGACCTCCACATGTTAACTGATGCTCGGCCCACCAAAAGTCATTTGGGCCAGGAGCACGGTTCATAGCTCTCCTTACGATTCCAAAATATGGCGGTCTTTTTTGACATGGCCCATTACATCTCCACCAATGCTGCTGATACAATTTAACTTCTTCATGAAAGTCGTGATAAATAGTTATGTGTGTTCCTGCTTCTCCATTAATTCTGTTCATATGCGACTGAAATACTGGTCCATGTCCATCTCTGTCCTTATTATTATTTGTGACAAATAAGTAGGCGTGTATCATCTCATGCTTAAATATTTCGTGAATACAGTTACTTAATTAAAAATACATACAAGTACAATGATGAAGGATTTCAACATACCAGAAGAGTTTCGATCAAATCTTTTCGAGGCCTCAGTTTTAAAAGTGGCTCGCTCAGTGCAATGACACATTCTTTGTTTCTAGGATGGAATGTACATGTGCCTGCACAACTGTGATAAGAGCAGTAAATAACTGATGAAATATGCTTATTGTACGGAAAGAGAAAAACCTTACCTTGTCATTTTTTTACTCCATTTGACTTCAACGGAGAGCAGAGCATTCCAAAAAAATTTTTCATTGAACTGTACGAATAGTGTGAATACATTTGGAGTTGGATCAATGTATTCCAAAGTCTTGTCAATGAGAGATTTTGGCTGATAATTGATTTTCTATTTACAAATTAAATGAAATAAGCACAATCACTCTGTGACAGTTTAAAATTTTAAGAAAAAAAAAAAAATAACGAAAACTAACCTCCTGTGGGATCACAGCATTCTCAGTGATTCCCAAGTGGTTTAGCTGATTTTGAAGATTTTTTGCTACCGCAGCATCTTCTCGGGTTTTAATGTCATTCAACTGCTTGTCTAGATTTATCGCCACTTTCCTATCATACCAATAACTCATTTTTCCGGTGTCAACTAATGGAAACTTTTCATGACAGTCAAGCGAGTCAAGTATACAATATGGAAAATTTAATACTTTACAATTTTTATATACGATGCAATAATTAACAATTACTGCGTTTCCGCATCTAAAAACTTTTCCAAATCATCGAAACAAAACAACAAAACGAAAAACTTTGAGAGGAAGAAAGGAAGAGGGGGCAAGTAACAAGTAGTAGGGGCCATTTGAAATTTTGGCGTGAGCTGCAGCAGAAAAGAAAAACACCTGACACGTGAAACTTGTATTGTTGACGTTGGAGTTTTAAGAGGAAGTCAGAAGTCAGAAGTTTATTTTAGGCTAAAGACAAGTAGTCCATGGTAGCCAGGACGAAATTATACATGTTTCAACTATATCAGAGACTCGCCATAGTTTACAAAATTAAAAATACTTTGTTGAGAGAGGAAAGGTTGACTAACATTTGTTGATAGCAAAAATTAATAAAATTCGTTAAAAAGTTATATGGTAGAATTCATATTGGGTTTGTATTAAAAACTACACGACAAGCTTCATAACGTAAAAAAACAACTAATCACAGATAATCATTTTTGTATATTGTCAGAAATATAACTGTCGAAAAAACGTAGTGTCTCTTGTAAATCTTCGTACACTGCCGTTTCACAGGCTTCTTTCAGAGGAAGCCACTTAAAATCCTGATGTTCTTTGGACATAACAACTTCCTTCGAATTGTTTATCAATTCCGCCAACCAATAAATCACAGTTTTTGGTTTGTTTTTAACTAAATAGTTCAGCTCTTTTTTGGCATCTTCGTATATTTTCAAATCTTCTTTAACAAATCCGGCTTCTTCTTCGGTTTCCCGTAACGCCGTTTGCATATCCGATTCTCCCTTATCGACGTGACCTTAGTTATAAAAAAAAAAAGTACGTAAAATAAATACTTGAACAATGGAATACAAAACCAACATGCTATGGTACAAGTGTGTACCCTTTGGCGGAGACCAATGTTGATCACCATAATTGGCTCGCATCAGTAAATACTCCACGTTCTGCGATAACCTTCGAAAAATCACGAACCCGCAAGCTCTCTTTCCCATGGTCACTTTTTTACTACTAACAGCTTAGATATGCTAATAAGTGATACGCGACATAAGTACGCGTGACCACTTATGCAAACCACTTGTCGTGTAAAACCTGTAATAATATAATAAGTATACCAAGCAGTAGACGTTAAGACGTCAGCTGTTGCCGTCAGCTGTTGTTCTGACGCGGTTTGCGTTGATACCTTTCAATTTTCAATTGGCCCGGTAAGGATTCAAGTTATATAAGTACTTAAGTTACTTACATACATTCTACTTGATCAGAAACAAAATTTCTTCCGACAGGAGAATGTTATGACATTTATGATATTTTAGATATTTCAGAGGTGTAGAAAAAAATGTGTTAATTTTTTTAAATATGAACAATTTTTTAAAAACTGAATAGTGGATTTCAAATAAATAAAACAAAGTCGGTAATTAAAAAATTATCTATAGTAACTACTCGATAAAATAATAATTGTAACGTAAATATAATTCTCAGTTCTAGATAAATCTGAGCTATTGAAAAAACAAAATATAATTTATGGAATGTAAAAGTTGCGGTAACTGAAAGATTATAGTGTTTAAGAAATATTATGTGTTACCATTTTATTATAAACGATTTCTCTACATTTTTTCTAATAGCAGCTGATCACCAGAAAACACTTGGTAAAGCTTTTTTATTTACCTATCTACAAACGAAATTGTTGACTCTTTGTCATTTTATGGGTGACAGAAATATTTTAACACACGTGAACGGCTGTTCAGGCAATTTTTTACTATTTTGTTGTTTGTAATTGTTTACTCATTGTCCGTCCAGCCGTAGAAACAAAATTTTTTCCATATGAAATAAACAAGTGATTCATTACAAATAAAAATTCCTTGGATGCAAACTATTCCATTTATTTTATACATCTTTGTTGAAGCAAATCATCCAAGGCTGGTTCAAGCAGTTGATTTTCTTCTTAGTATTATCGTCAATCTTAGATAACAATGGTTTTATCTACTTAAGGTCTGTCTGTACCATTTATATTTTTAAAGGTTTTTTAAAATTGCTTAATCGCTAGTAATATCTACTCACAGATAGTCACAGATACAGTTGCGCGTAGCGTTCGAAATATTGTACTTATTGCACTGCACTGTTTACACGTTGAATAGAACAAAAGACATTTTTCTCACTTTAAAAATGTTTTACAATAATCGTCCTTATTCGTTATTAATTTTTTTTTTCATTTATTTAATTATAGAAACTTAAAACAACTCACTTTTATCAACAAGAGAATTCACGCGATTTTTATCGGTAGTTTTGTTTTTTACATTGTAGTTTTCATTTATAGTCTTGCATTGTAAAGATTAGTTTTAAAAAAATTGTGCATAACGTGTAGGTCGTCTAAAGTAATATTTTTTTCTTTCACAGACGCGTAAAAAGAAAAAAGTCTTTTTCTGGTGTCTTTCACGTGTACACGCAACACATGGTTTTATAAATAATTATTTTTAAGTTCATTCATCCAATTAATGGTAAACATTGCTGATTCCGAATTCTTATTTTTATCAGTCATTTATCGACATTCAGCACTATGCAATGACGGTATTGTACGTTTAACTCTTGATTTTATTTTTGAGTACAAAAAATTAGCCATCCACAGTAAGTATATTAGAAAAATAAAAAAATCAAATTTTTCAAAGCGTGTAACTAAATTAGTCTTGCTAATTGTTATAAAGTTGATTTTTAGGCGGTGACTTTTTGATGTCTTTGATGAAACTCACCGCTGATGTCCCTTTTATGTATAATATATATATATATATATATANTATATATATATGTGAGTATGCATATGTAAATATTTATAATTCATCTACTCTTCATTTAATCTAGTACCTTTATTAAATTGATTTATATTTACACTCTATCTGCGATTTGCTTTACAACAGCGCTAAACATTTTTTGTTTAAATCATTTTTGTTTTATCAGTTCATATACTTTACACTTAACCGCAGAAGAATAAAGAGTACAATATAGCCGATTGTATAGTTCCTTATGGTTTTATTTATTTATTTATTTTTCTATAGAAACAGCAGATCTTAATGGCAATCGTTCAAATACACTCCCAGCACATTATTTCGCTCACTCACTCTTGCACTCTTATACACACAATCGCTTTCTTCACACTTGTCAACCATTTGCATTCATATACACGTGAATACACACGTCGATCGGCTCGCTACTCGATCGAAATCTCTCCCTAAATTTTTTTTTACCATTTATTATTGGTATATATTCTCTTCCCTCTTAGTTGTTTTTTTTGTTTGTTAATGTATCGTTATACATTACGCTTGACTTGTATTCAGTTTATAATTGTATAATAATGCAATAATAATAACTATCGTTATCATTAATAAATTGTCCAGTGTGTTGCTCTGTAACTGCGAACTTTTAGTGTACATAAAAAAGTAAAGCATTGTAAAAACGATCAAAAAAGTCAATTATTTGGATTCTACGTGATTAAGTTGACCACGGCAAAAGTAGCTGGATCATCGATTTGATCAAAATTTTAGTTAATATTAATTCTTTTCCAGCTTAAAATATGCTAAATTATGAGAGTTTAAAAAGTAGAAGATGCAAAAAAGTGTCGTAAGAAACCTATAGATATACAATCGCAGTCAATAGTTAAGATAGTTAAAAATTTTTTTTGGTTGTTTGTTTCTTTTCGTTAGAAAAATTTAAAAACCTCGTATATACGCTAATTACACGTGTGATCGGAAATGTGTTTTATTCGACTCGTGCAAGCGAAAATGTGTTTTCCTATTTAAACGTTTCATAAGACAACGTCTTTGATTAAAGGATTTTAAGTTGCATGATTCACGAAAATATCTCTTTAGACAGTGAATAATGATAATTATTCGATGATCCGATGATGCTCGAAAAATATTAACCAAATCAAGAATTCAACTTTTGCGGTCATCAAAGTCACGCAGAGTCGATTTAATGCTTTATCATGCGCAGCCCTTAGTTAATGTATATGTATATTTTTTTTCAATACATTGATTTAACATAGCATTTTTTTTTAATTTTTTTTTTTTTTCATCCACCATAAGTATCTATAAAACGAGGGTATGTATCATTGTTGCTTCAATTCAATTAGAAATTGCCTTGCTTATTCGCCTTATCGTTTAAAATCTCTGGTGTATTTTTAAAGAGTCCAAACATACTTTGTTTTTATTTTACGCACATTTAGTCCTATATACCTGTTTAACTTACAGTCATTGTGTCAAAAAATTCATTCACATCAAAAACAGGGGTCAAGGTAATACAGCCTTACATTATATTTTTACACCTCTAAATATTTTCATGTTTAATAAACTTTGATACAATAGACTTTTGTATTTATTTCATTAAAATTTACAATAGAATTCATTATATTTGCGGTGAAAATACTACAACGCGTACGTAACGGTCTGTAGTACCAAGACCCATTGTGCCAAGTAAAAATAATACTGTTGCTAATGATAAATTTCTTGATTTTTCATATCGTTTCACAACTAAATTGAACTCACTTATTTATGCGATTAACCAGGGAACTGAGTTCGAACAAATCGTGATTACCAAAAAGGAGATGTTGATCGTAAATCCGAATCTCTGCTTCTCTTTCGATATTACGTCGGAACATATGTAACATCTTTTTGCTTTTTTAACAATAATTGACACGTGGATGATGATGTTACAGAAAAACACGAAAAAAAGAGAAGTAATTGATAATGTTCTAACAATAACAATCACGAGTCTCAGTCCCGCTGTCGAAAATAGTGAAGGTGCTTGTATGAAGAAAAAAAAAATATAAAGCAAAAAGCATTATTTCACTGAATTCGTATTATAATTAAATTTATAGATCTAGTTTATACAATGACATTCAGTTTTTAATTCTGATATTTCATTATTATTTTTTTATATCATTTGCACGTCTACTCAGTCGGCCAAACGCATCATCGGCCTTGAAGTAACTCTTCCATAGCAGAGTTTTTTTTTCTCTCTCTCCCTCTTCTCTTTTGCGTGTATGTTCTTATTTTTTATTTTGAGTATTGAAACGTGAGCAACGTTTCTCGACGAAAGAACAACAGTCACCGTAACATATCAGGCGTGTTATGTGTGCGTGCACGGCGCGTGACGAGAAAAAAGAAAAAACGTATAATAAAGATAAAAAAAAAAAAAAAAAAAAGGAGAAGAACAAGTTTGCCGAAGTAACTGTTCGGAGCCTCCGGCTGTTTTTTAGACACTTTGCACAGCTCCATTTGGCACTCTGGAGTATTTCAAATACATAAGAAACGAGCTCGGCTGCAGATCACCCAGATTTCAAGCGAACTCGGCTCTCTTTTGCTTCCCTCCTTTATTACTCTTTCACGCTAGCCTTACCCCTCCACACACGACAATATTCGTCGTCGTAATCATTATCAGTATCATCATTCACGTAACGTGTACATTCCACGTCCAATAAGACTGCACAACGAGAGGTGTCGTTTATACGTGTTGTAACAATTCATCCGTCGTCATTGTGCCGATTGTCCAGCTCAGACGAATATTTCCTCTTCGCTCGAGCTGGACTCGTTACTATAAAACTCTTCGGCACCGCTTTCTTCGTCGTCGTCATCATCATCATCATCATCATCGTCATCATCACCATCATCATCATCATCGACATCATCATCGACATCGTCATCGTCATCATCTTCGTTGTCATTCAAATCATCATCGATATCACTGCCGTCATCATCATCTTCACTGTCGTCTTCATTATCGTCGTAATCATTTTCCGGTTCGTTCCAATACAGATAAAGGATGAGCTCGTCTTGGAGCCAAGCAGGCGGTCTCTCGCTGTCTACCGGCAGGGAGAGCAGGTGATTGCGGCGCCCGGTGGGTTATGGATTGCTGTTGCCGCCGGCCAAAGTGTCGTTTACATCGCTACTGTCGTCATTAACGGTAGTAGTATGTGACAGCAGCGTAGGCGTCGTTTGTGGAGACTGAGCGCCTTGGGGGCTGGCGGTGGTGGTGGTGGTGGTGATTGTGGGATTGTTGTTGCTGGTGGTTGCGGCGGTGGTGTTGGCTGTGGTGCTGCTGGCGGTGGCGGCGCCGGTGGTGGCCGGCAGTCACAGTTTGAGCTCGTTCGCTATTTTGCTGGCGATGTTCTTGAAGCCGATCGAGGTGCCCGAGATGCGCTTGAAGCGAACTCCGTTCAACGAGAGCCGCGGCAACTTGCAGACCTCGATCTCCCATTGGACCTGGCTGTCGGTCGCCGGGTCTCCGTGGGCGCAGAGCAACAAGAACCGCTCTAGCTGCTCGTACTGGCACTCGTTCGCGTCCAGCACCTGGAATTAGTTAACACAAAAAAAAATACGAACACGTCAATCACTGTATTTCACATTTTTTTTTTTTTTCGTTTTTGTCAAATATGTATTTGTTGCTGACTCTTAAGGTCAACATTTGTTCTTAAAATAGTGTCTTTTTTTCTAAACTCGTCATGTGTTTATTTTACAAGTTTGTTACATAAGACTTGATAATGTTTAAATTGTTAAGTTAAAAATTGAGGTAAGTAAATAATGTAGTATTGAAATTTGTTTTTTTTTGTTTTTTTTTTGGAACGAGTATTCTATCACCAGTATGAATATTATAGTTAGTCATGGCTTTATGAATAATTGGAAATTATCAAAGTTAATCATAAGTTATAAACAGTTGCATTTATATAGCACTTGCGTTAAATCGATGCTGATGTGTTTAGTCACATTTTTTTTTTT